TCTGAGGTTAGATTTGAACTCAGGTCCTTCTGACTCCCCTCTATTCACTGCACTACCTATGTGCCTCCCTTTATATTCTTCAAAATTATTGAGGACCCCACCAGAGAGAGTTCATGTGGATGATGGCTATCAATATTTACTATATTAGAAATGTAAATGTCTTAGTTATTATGTAAATAGTTTTGACTTCACAGACCCCTGAAGGGGTTTTAGAGATCCCCAAGGATTCCCTGAATTACACTTTGAGAACCAATAATCTAGAGGACAAACAAAATGCAGTGGGAGGGACTGAAGAGTGCCTTCTAGATGTGTTTTTCTCCCTTGACTTCCCAAATGTTCCTGGTTCTTTTGACCTTACTCTTTACATGTTTCATCTCTGTCTCCTTCACTGTTTGCTTATCCTCCAAGGTTCTGTCCTTGGTGCTCTTCTTTTTTCCTCTATATTTGTCTCCAGAAGGACAGGGACCACATCCCTCCTTAGCGCACTGCTCTGCCCACAGTAGGTGCTTAATAAATGTTTATTAAATTGTATTAGCCTGATCCATGCCTTTCCCCCCACCCCACCTTTCACAATTTTCTGAAGCTTACTCAGAAAAGTCTTTTACAAACCCGGGGGTCATTAATTTTTTAAAAATTTAACAACTAAATTTCGACATAATTGGTTTCCTATGAAAACCAATGGATTCTATGACTCCATAGAATCTTACAGATTTTGTTATCTAATTCTGAGAAGGGGTCCATAGGTTTTGCCAGACTACCATTGGGGTCCAAGACAAAAAAAAAAGTTCTGAAACCTTTGCCCTAATGAGCAACTTTCTGATCTTCTCTTAGGCAGGCTGCACCTCATACAAAGCCTCTCACCGGGCTCAAGTCCTGCCTTGGAGGCACCTTTCCCTTTGCCCCAAACCCAGTTGTTTCTTCCCCTTGATTCTAGGACTTCTCTGACGTGTACTTAATCCAGTTCTTCTTTTGTATAGTTATGTGTTCCTGTTCATATCTCCTCCAACTAGACTGTAAGTTTTGTGGGAAGAAACTACTTTTCATCTTCATATCCCATAGTAGGTGCTTAATAAATGTCTGAAACGAAAGCAGGTGGTCACAGTGTTCAGCCTTGCAAAGAATTAAGGAAAGGGGGAGTCAGGAAAATGCTCTTGGATTTACTGGTTAATGTCATTAGTGACTGGTTTTTGGTAGACTAGTGAAAGAAGAGAGTGGGTCATGTAGAGTGGAGGCAAGTAATAGAGACAGCTTTTTTTCCCAATTGAATCTGATTTCATCGGTGCCAATTGTCTCCTTTTAGTTGCCCGGGGCACTTTGAGGTTATGTGATTTGCCCAGGGCCATGCAGCTGGTAAGTGGCATTTTCTAGAAATTTAGCTGTGACAAGAGAAAGCTGGGATTGTAGCTGGATGGGGTAGCAAAGTCAAGAGATGGCTTTTATTTATTTATTTTTAAGGCACTGGGGAAGCAGAAGCATGTTTTATAGGCACATGGGAATTTGAGAGTGAAAGGGTGACAGAGAGCAAGGAGGGAGGGAGAAGTGTGGGGGGAATATTTGAAGATTTGAGAGAGGAAAATTCCTACTCCTCCTCAATCCCTCTCTCCCCTAGTGCCCATTACAATGCTGAGCAGATGCAATAAACCTATTCAGCACCAGCCGACGAGGACAGGGCTAGTAGGTGCCGGATGTGGGGGAAGAGTGTTTTCCCATCCATTATCTCAGTGTTACTTACAATAGCCCCATCCTGTAGGCAGAGCATAGTTTACCGTCCCCATTTTATTGAGGAGGAAACTGACATCTCTTTGCCTGTCCTGGACAGTAAAACCTTATTTCCATTTGTTAATGCCGAGGGCTGTTTCCTGGATGATCACAGAAGGTCAGTGTGCCCTACAGAAAAGGTATGTCAGTGGAGGTGGAGTGGGTTTAGGATAATTCAGAGTGAAATTGGGTTCCCTCCCTCCTCCAACTGTGCCCCTGGAAATTAGCTCCTCAATTTGAAGCCAAGCTTAGCTGAAAGAACTGTGAATCAAGCAGACGTCTTTGTCTCTGTCAGAGGAAGAGGGGGAGGTTGTAATGTATTCATCTTGTTCCCTCTCCGGCCCTCCGCCCGGCATCCAGACAACCCCTCAGACCTCCCTGAGGTCTTTGTATGAGGGAAAGCTTTGTTAAGCGTGGGGCTCACCTGCTGGGTAAATTGCCTATCTGGAATCATTCTCCTTTAGTTCCAAATTGCTTCTGCCTGGGCGGAGCTCCCTCCTCCCAATCTGGAATTGAGTGTGGAGGTTTGCGTACCCTTTCCTGGGCACAGGGAACAGAGGGCTGGTTGACAGGGGGAGATTAAAACTGTCAAACGTACCCATCAGCATTCATAGAGCCTCGAGATGGCTCCCTGTGTTTTCTTGAGTAGTAGGTGAGGGAAAGAGACCTGTAATGGATGTCAAAAGAATTGGGTCCTTGACCCAACTCTGCCACTGATGTACTGTGTGATCTAGGAAGGAGAACCATAGAGATGATCTAGCTCAGGGATTAACATAAACTTATTTTTAAAATATTTTCATAATTGGTTTTTTATGTATACATATAAAAACATGATTCTGAGGACACCACAGGCTTCTCCAGACTGCCTGAAGGCACAGAAAAGTTTACGGGCCCCTGTTCTAGTCCAAGCCCCTCATTTTGCAGATGAGGAAGCTGAGGCTAGAGATATTCAATGACTTACCTAAGGTCATACTGATAGAAATGAATGGAGACAGAGCTTGAACTCAGTCCCTCTGGCTCCATATCTAGCACTCTTTCCCCATGTATAGTAGTGCCTGTCTTGGCTTCCAATTTCTCTTATGTAAGTTGAGAAACTTGGATTTAGAGAGTCAGGGTGTTGTAGGGGATAGAGCACAGGGCTTGGAGTCAGGAAGACCTGGGCACCTACAACCTGTGTGACTCTGGGAAAGTCACTTGCTCTCTGCGCCTTAATTTTCTCATCTGAAAATGAGATGGTTCGATTCAGTGCTCTATGATCCTATGACTTACGGGTTCTTTGGGCTTCTCTATTTCTAATGTCCTAATTCCATGGAAACTGATTTGGCTTCTCAGTTGTAACCCCAACATTTGGATGGCACTTTCCTCTCCATTATTTCCTAGGCTTCTTTTCTGAGAAGTGTCCCCAGAGCCTGGCTTGAGCCCTCCTGACAGGCAATCAGATAGAATGGCACGTGCTCATTAGGGTCCCTGCAGCAAATGGTTGCAGCTGGTACCCCATGCTCTGGCCACAAATATCTACTCTGAATCATGGGTACTGAGAACTAAAAGGGCCATTAGGGGTCATTTAGTCCAAAGCTTCCTTAATTTTTTGTGTGTCGTGGATCACGTTAGCAGTAGTCTGGTAGAGCGCAGGGACCCCTCCTCAGAACCATGTTTTTAAATGCATAATAAAACAAAATCCATTGTACGACAAAGGAAACCCATTATCATGAGGTACAGTGAGCCCTAGTTCATATATCCCCAGTTAAGAATCTCTGATCTAGTCCAACATCTTCACAGGACAGAGGAAATGAAGGCTTTCTTCCTCTACCTTCTCAAAGTCCTACAGCAGCAGAGTTAAATTGAGTGGCCAGGTCTCATCTGCTGGATCTCAGTTTAGGGCTTATGCTGCTTCCCTCCTCTCACTCATTTCCCTCCAAGCTATTCTAGTTACCTTTCTCACCCACCCATCAGAATGATATTTTGATCAGGGAGAAAAGGTGCTCATTCCAATGGATCAGTCTGAGCGTTTAACATGGCAGATGTGTTTATCTGTCTTTCTCCCTTCCCTTCCAAATCAGGGGCTTCCCTAAGGCCAATGGCTATCCCCTTTCTATCAATCACCCCTCCACAGTACACAGCTCCCTACCCAGAGAACACTGCCAACTAAGCATTATTAAGATGCTCATTGTTTTTAGGGAAGAATTCATCTTGATTTGCCTGGGCTTTTGCAGTCAGGTTAAAGGAATGGATTGGGCTGGGGTGGGGTGGGGTGGAGTGTTCATGTTGGCGAATCTCATTCCTGATCCCCTGTATCCCTGATGCTTCTGGCCGACTCTCCCTTACCAGCGTGATCCTAGGGATTGCTGTGATGAGATGGGGGACAGGGGAGAGGGCAGCCTCCTCTGCCATTATCAGCGGCTTCCAGATGGTCCCAGTGCCTATAATCCTGGTTAATCAGTCTGGACCCCAGCCTCAGCTGGAAAACAGCGTTTTTGATGAGCCTGGCCCCAGCTGGGGAAGCCTCAGCACCAGTGCCTCCAGAGGGGCTGCGGGCAAAGGAAGGTGCAGGGGAAGCCTGATGGGACTACCATGCTTCTCATCACAGCTCAGTGAAAAACATGTGGACATTTTGTCTTTAAAAAGTAATCTATGTGCAAATAAGGAGTGGGGGTAGAACGTTAGAGAAAAGATAGCCAAGACCAGCCTCCCTCTGTCAGCTCCTGGGATGCAAATGACTAGGGGATTATAAAATCCATTTGGCTCCTCCCACATCATAGAACACCGAGAGTTAGAGTTACTCTTAATATGTAGACTGTTAGAGCTGCAAGGGACCTTAGACTATGGAATATCAGAGCTGGGAGGGGCCTTAGAACAGGGAATGTCAGGGCTGGGAGGGGCCTTAGAACAGGGAATGTCAAAGCTGGAAGGGGCCTTAGAAATCATTTAGTCCAACTCATTTTAAAGAGGGGGAAACCCAGGCCCAGGGTATATAGGTCATGCAGTGATTCCAAGGGAAGTCTTGAGGTTCCCAGCCCAGGGCTCTTTGCATATAGCACCACACTCAGAGACCACATTCAAGCTACCACCTTTATTTAAAAAAAAAAAATCTAATTCTGCCCTACAGGAAAATAGAAGGGGAAGGGGATAAGAGAAGGAAGGGGGCAGATCAGAGGAAAGGGTATGCAGAATGCATGCCATCTTGGGGTGGGGGGAGGGACGAAACGGGGAGAAGATTTGGAACTCAAAATCTTGTGGAAATGAATGTTGAAAACTAAAATAATTTTTAAAATATACTTATTTGTCTTTTTTTAAAAAAATCTCCTCTAGTTTTTTGAACATAAAAGATTCATGGATGTTTCCTGAATTGTGGTCTAGCTCTGAGTTTAGTGACTGAGAAAACCTGACTTTTAGTTAGTTCTACCATTTTGCTCAGGCAACTGACTTATTTTTTCTGGGCCTCAGTTTCCTCATTTAGAATAAAGGTTGGCCAAGATGATCTCTAGGTCCCTTCCAGCTCTGAACCCTGACAATTAAAATATACTAGGGAGTGAGATCAGAGAAAAGAAGTTCAGAAAAGATGCCCTAAGAAACAGATGGGAGAGCCTTTTCAAAACTGTGAAACATTTTGTAATAACAACAGCTCAAACATTTATAGTGCTTTAGAATAAACGTTAAAGCACCATGTAAAGTTAAGGAATGAAGGCTCTTTTCTTGGAGGTGAGGAGTGAAATCCTACAGGGTCTGTTTGCAGTCAGAAATAATACATTTGCCAGCTTAAATGGGTGAAACTAAAATCAGTTCTTATTCCTGTAAGAAAAGGGAAAAATAAGTTACTTGGATTTTTGTACAAAGAGACCTCCCAGGAGTAGAGGCAGGAGGCCTGGTGGCCTTAGTCTTGTTGCTTTGCAGCCAGGTGTCTATCCCGAAGCTCTGGGCTCAGCTGGGCCTACCCTGCCCTTTGGGGCAGGTCTGTCCCTGGCCCAGGTGCTGAAGGATGGTGACGCAGCCATGGGCACTGGTGCATCGCTGCAGGGGCTGTTGGTTTTCCAAACGCCCACTCAGTGGGTCAAAGGCGAAGGTCTTATCTGTGCCTTCTCCTCTTGAGTCCCGACCACCAAGGACATAGATTCTCCTGCCACAAACGGTCACTCCACAGCTCTCCTGGAAAGCCAAGAGACAGATGTGTTTTCAGGCTTGGCACCTCCCTTACCCCTGCCTAGCCAAGAGTCGGAGTTATCATTCTAGAACATCAGCATCATATCACCGTCATAGAATCATAACATCTCAGAATTCTGTGAACATTCGTGCACGGACAGTCCCAGCCCTCCCACTTATCAGCTGTGTTACTCAGCAAATGACTGTCCCCTCTCTGGGCCTCAGTTTCTTTTGTAAAATAACAGATTTGCTGGATTTGTTGCTCTATAAGGTCCCCTCCCCACCTCCCAGCTTTAAAATTTTCTGTAATTATATATATATATATATATGTATATATATATATATATGTGTATATATATATATATTATATATATATATATATTATATATATATATATATATATATATAAAATATAATATTGCAAAAGCTGAGAAAATCTTCCTAGAAGCTCCAGGCTCTTCATCCTGCCCCTTGTCAAACTATTGATGCCATCTGTCCTCTGCCTCGACCTTTGGAGGAACCAGGCAGCCAAGTCAGAATCAAAGTCAAGCATTCTGCAATGCACTCTTGTTGTTGAGTTGTGTCTGACCTCAGGAGTCCACAGACTCATACTGTCCATTGGGTTTTCTTGGCAAAGATACCGGAGTGGTTTGCCATTTCACTCTCCAGTGGATTAAGGCAAACAAAGATTAGGGTTACACAGCTAGTAAGTGGCTGAGATCACATTTGAACTCAGGTCTTCCTGACTCCAGGCTCCGTGCTCTAAGCACTGAGCCACGTAGCTGCCTCACACTGTATGACTGGGAAAGTCAGCTACCCTCTCTGACTTTGAAAACTGGCCATCAGTTTTCTCCCTCTGTTAAGTGGAGATCGTGACCACTGACTGGACTCCCTCACAAGGTTTTAGGGAAAGTCAAATGAGAATGTAGATGAGAAAATGCTTTGAAAAGTATAAACTCTAAAAAGGAAAGAGGTTTAGAGTTCTATAGAATGTCAGTCCTAGAAGACATTAAGACATGGAAGGTCAGAGTTGGGAAGGACCTTAGAATGTTGAATGTCAGAGCTGGGAGGGACATGAGAACAGTTTGTTAATATTTGTTTGGCAGTTCAGTGCAATCTTACAGACCCCTTTTAAGAATAATGTTTTTAAATGCATAAAGAAAAATGCATAGCATTACAAAGAAAACAAATTTCGTTGAATTAAAGATGTAACTTTTTTCCCTATCCAAAGTTATGGACTGCCTGACATCTATCTATCTATCCATGGTCTGTGGATTCCAGTTTAAGAGCCCTGCCTTAGAACACAGAATGTCTGAATTGGGAGGGATCTTAGGTCCCTGCAATATCAGGAATTACCTAGGCCCTTTGGGGTTTCCCTTCCTCTCCCATCATCCTCAAAAGGAGCACAGAAGGAACACAGGCCCCTTCCTTACCAGGGGCCCAGGGAGTGAAGCTGCTTCTGCCCAGAGATCTCTGCGTGGATCATAGCTGAAGATCTTGCTCAGAAGACCCCCCACCACGTAGATGATGTCATCCAGGGCCACAGCTTCAATGCATCTCTGGGTGAAGGGGGCTGGAGAAAGGAGGCTCCACTTGTCCTCTCCGGGATCAAAGCACTGTACCTGAGGAGGAGGCCAGCAGGGTCAGGGAGGGAGATGGATTCCCCTGATGCTGGAAACTCCAGAAAGACGGATGGAGATGAGAGGACCAGGGCTTCTGCCCTCCCAGCCACATACCACCTTTGTCTGCAGACAAACGAAGAATGCTTTGCAAACCTTAAAGCCCTATATAAATTTGAGCTAGTATTTGTTATCACTATTACTATTCTTATAGTAATAATAAATGTAGGCTACAGTATAATACTACAACCTTGCATATAAAGCTGGGGAGTTTATACATACATGAGTTCTTACATACATCATACATGGGGTCCAGTGAACTTGTTTTTTAAATATGTTGATAAGTCTATTTTAGGGAAGCTAGGTGGTGCAGTGGATAGAGCGCCCAACCTGGAGTCAGGAAATTTCATCTAACTGAGTTCAAATGTGGCCTCACACACTTATTAGCTGTGTGACTCTGGGCAAGTCACTTAACCCATTTGCCTCAGTTCCTCATCTATAAAATGAGCTGGAGAAGGAAATGGCAAACCATTCCAGTATCTGTGCCAAGAAAACCCCACATGGGGTCAAGAAGAGTCAGAATGACTGAACGAAAAGCTATTTTAGTGGAATTGATTTCCTTTGTAATTCTACATATTTCATTTTATGCACTTAAAAACAAAATTCTGAAAAGGGCCCCATAGGTTTTGCTAGATTGCCAAAGGGGTCAATGATACAAAAAGAGTTAAGAACCCCTGGAGAGAGTTGAAGATTTTCAGAGCTAGAAGGAGCCCTAGAATAGATTGTCAGAGCTGGCACTGGGCTCTACCCAAGACTTTCTGGATCCATGGCCACCTCTCAAATCCATCCCCTCCTCTCCATTCCTACACTGATCGTCCTCATTCTGAATTTCATCTCTTCTCACTTGGACTATTACAATAGCCTCCTAATTAGTGTTCCTGCCTCCAGTCTCTTTTCTCTTCACCCCACCCCTCCTGTAGCCACCAGAGGCATCTCCCTGATCCGGAGGTCAGACAATGTCCTTCTGTTTGCTCAGAAGACTTCAGTGGGTCCTCACTGCCTACAGGACTAAGTCCAAACTCCTTGGGCTGGCATTCAAAGTCATATACATTCTAGTCCCAACTTCCCTTTTAAGCCTCTGCTTGCTTCCTGTATTTGTGCTCCACTCAAATGAAAGCTAAATTAAGGGCAGCGGCATAGCAAAGTGGGAAGAGCCCTGGCTCTGGACTCAAAGGACCTGAGTTCAAATTCTGCCACTTACGGCCTGCGTGAAGAGACTCCTCTCATGGCCTCAGTTTCCTCACTATATGGCCTCTGACGTCCCCTCCAGATCTAATTCTATAACCACTTCTTTTCCTTCTCTATAGGTACTGTGCTTTCTTGTCTGGGTGCCTCTGCTCAAGATGTCCCCAACTCAGCCACATCTCTCTCCATCTCTACCAGGTCCCCTTTCTCTCTCCTGCCACCTGAGGTTGAAAAGTAAGGTTCTTGAGGGCAAGGACTGCTTTTGTCTTTTGTATACACAATGTCTTGCATATAGTAGGTGATCAATAAAGGCTTGTTGGATTGGATTAAAACCCTCATCATCCTTCAGAGCCCAGCTTAGGTGCTACCTCCTTCAGAAAGCAAAAACAATCTTTCTAGGTCATGACACTTTATTTGTTCCTTATGTTTTTGTTTTTGTTTTGGTGGGAAGAGGCAATTGGGGTTAGGTCCTTTGCCCAGGGTCTCACAGCTAGTAAGTGTCCAAGGCTGGATTTGAACTTAGGTCCTCCCGACTCCAGGGCTGGTTGCTCTATCCATTGCACCACGTAGCTGTCCCCCTCCCATATGTTTTTATCACGTTCTATTTTTGAATTATAACTCTCGGTAATGTGTACATAACCTTCCTATTAGACGCGGAGCTTCCTGATGGCAAGAAATGAGTCTTATCCAAGTCTGTCTCTCAGTACATGAAGCATGTGATAAGTACTTTAAATATGTTAGCTTTGAATCTGTGGAATTGAACCAAGAGCTGTGGGATTAGGCTCAGCGCAAGGACCTCGTATTGCTCAGGAAGGAAGAGGATGCCTACCTGGAACCAGGAATCTCAGAATCACCCGCTCTCTAATAGACAGCAGGGACTCTGCCTCCCCCCTCCCTCCACCCTAATTCTCTCTACCTCCCGCCTTCCCCACGCCCACTCCTTTCTTCCGCTCACCCTGTCCGTGTTGGCGCTGTCGTCCACAGCACCTCCGATCACATAGAGCTTCTTGCCGCAGGGCACCACAGCTGCCGAGCTCACAGCCTCCAGGAGCGGGGCTACCCGGGCCCAGGTGTTGGAGAAGGGGTCATAGCACTCCACGCTCCCCAGGCGGCGTACGCCATCAAAGCCTCCCACGGCATAGAGCTGGGAGACGGAGGAGGGGTACCAGAGGACCAAGTGGTCAGTGTTGATGTCCTGCCCACAGGGTCACGCCCAAACTCCTGAGCTCTGATTTGAGGCTGTCCAACTTAGCTGGTCTCAACCTACCTCTCTGTAGTCTGATCTCTCAACACTTCCCTGCTCTATGAAGCCTCTGCTCTGGCCCCCTAGTCGTTTCCTGGGTCTCTTCCACGTCTCCTCTCCTTCCTTCCCTTCCCTTCTCTTCCGTGCCTTTCTCCTCCCTCTCTACCCACTTAATGTTATCTTTCCTTTAAGGTCCAGGTCAAATCCCACATCCGTAGGAAGTCCTTCCTCACCACTTCAGACAACAATCAGAAATCTCTAATGTTTCCAGGACATAGATCTTTATGAGATCAGTGAGGCTTAATGGAAGGAATGCTGGACCTGGGTTCAAATTCTTCACTTAGCAGTACTGTGACTTTGGACAAGTCTCTTCCCTTTTTGGGGACTCAGTTTCCTCCTCTGTAAAATAAAGAGGAAATTAAAGTCTCCTGTGTTTCTTAAAGGTCTGTGAGTCTGCAGCATACTTTCAGAATGGTAACATTCTATCCCTAGGGTAATGGGAACCCTGTTTGTGTTTCCTTTTCTTTCCTTTTGGGGGGGAGGTGAGGGAATAGGGGAGGCAAATAGGTAAGGATTAGATAGAAATGGGAACAGGATGCCACAGCATCCAGAGAATTCCTAATGGGATTTTTAAAAAAAGGAACAAGGAACTAGAGACTGGATCAATGAGTTTGATCTAGCACCAATTATAAATAGGCATGGGACTATTTTAGGTCTAAAGTCTAGAGCTGTAACTAGAAATTTTTGTCCTGGGTGTAAGCAGCATAACATGACCTTAATTCAGTTGTTCTGGGGTATTTTTGGTGGTGAGGGGAGCCGTGGAGACCCTAGGACACACTGAGAGGCTGTTGCTGAAGAAGATGCCAAAGGGCAGGTGAGGAGGGGGCTTATCTGTGGAGGTGGGGGAAGGGGGAGGCTGCTGGAGAATTCCCTGGATAGTTGGCCTAATTTAACTGATTATCGCTAACTAAGGCTCAGCTCAGATGTCTCTAACTGCCAAAGATGTATCAACACCCTGGTACAAAGTCCCAAACATCCTACCCTGGTTATGTTTCTATTGAATTTCACATGGGTCCAGAAAGGAGGGAGATGCAGGCCTGGGAATTAACTCCAGAGAATATCTTGGGAAGTTTCTGTCCATGTAGGCTAGAACTGAGTAGATTCTGCTCGAATACTTCTAATGACCTCACAATTCACAAATCTTCATAGTACCTTTCCTTTATAAATCAACCTTAGAAATGAACCATCTCCATTGTGTGGAGATGGGGGCAGAAGGGAACAGATGGCAGGCTAGGGCATGCAGCTTTGGAGGCAGCAATAGAAAGGGGAAGATAATTAGGGATAAGGTATAATTCAGGAATCAAGCAGGTTCAGGGACTTGGAATAGGAGCTCTGGAATCAGGAAAGGTTTTGAAAGCAGTGAAGAGTAAAAAGATTCTCTACACAGATTCTCAAGATCTGGGACCTTCACATCCAACGTTAGCTTGTGTCTGCTTTGCCTGTGTCTTGTATGTGCTTATATACACACATGTTCTCTCCCTTGATTAAATCATACATCTTGGGGGCACAGACAGTGACTCTTTTGGATTGAGAGCACGAGTGAATTTCTTGGGTTTCTTAATAAGGGGAAAGACAGTGGTAATAATAGCTAGCTCTGGCCAGGTCAGTGTTTTCCTGGATGTCCAGCTAGCATTAACACAGCACTTTAAGGTTACAAATATTATCTCATTCGATCCTCACAAGTGCCCCGGGAAGTAAGGGCTATTCTATTCCCATTTTGCCACCAGGATGGATCACAGTGGGCCTTGGGAGGGAGGAGCAGGGAATAAGTGTTCATGAAGTGCTTACTATGTGCCAGGCACTATGCTAAGTGCTCTCACAAATATTATCTCATCTGAACAGTCAGCCCACTCCTCTGGCCTTAGTGCTGTTTTCCCCACTGTGTGGTTACCAGCCTCCTACAACCCCTAGATCTGTGAGGCTCTTTGGACTTGGAGCCTTCTGGATGAGTCCCACCTTAGGGTGTAACGTTCTACGGGGTAGCTCTGGGAACCTAGGAGACCCCAGAGGGTTGGCGACCTTGATGGTGAGGCCCACCTACCCGCCCTTGCAGGACAGCCATCTTGTGCCTCCACCTGCCCTCATTCAGGGAGGCTGCCCTGATCCAAGTCTGCAGCTGGGATCGGAACATCCAGAGGTCCCGGCTGTGGATGTGGCCACCTGAGGAGAGGGAACAGTAGAATGTCAGAGACAGAAAAGACCTTAGAATATGGAACAGAGAGTGTCTGACCTGGAAGAGATCTTAGGACAAAAAACATAATGTGGGCAATAGACGAGATCTTAGAAAAGAAAATGTCAGAGCTTGGGTGGACCTCCGATCTTAGAGTGGTAGAGCAGGAAGTGGCGAGATGAGATCATCTAGTTCAACCTCATCATTTTAGAGATGGGGTAATTTGGGGCCAGGGAACAGAAGGGACTTGCTCAAGGTCACACAGTCCATATAGATCATGCCAGTAAGTGGCATAATTCCCCTCTTGGATTAGCCACTGCTTTCCTGTGTAACAGACAAATCTCATCCCTTCTCTGGACCTCAGTCTCCTTATCTGTAAATTAGGGAATTGGCCTACATTATCTCCAGGCTTATTTTTAGCTCTAAATTATACATTCTGGATGGGGAGGTGGAGGCTAGCAGTGGAGCAGGAGGAGAGGATGAAACTGAACCCAGTTATTTTAGGCTCTCTCATTGGTGGAAAGGAGACGCTTGCTTGAAGACTGGAAGAAGCCTCTGCCCCCAGGCTCTCAGCCAATCCAAGCAGGGTTGGGACGGGCGCCTGGGCTGGTACCTGCCCTCACCTGAGAGGTAGACATCGTTCTTCATGGTGCACATGGCAAACTCGGATTTGGTGCAGCCGGGCACACTAGGCAGCGTCTTCCACTGGCGGCTCCAGGGATGATAGGCACCGGCGAAGGGGAGTGTCAGGAGACCTGTCCTGTCACAGCCACCAACCACCATGATCACTTCAGCCAGATCCATAAACCTAGTACCAGGAGGGAGGAAGGGAGGGAGCCAGCTGCTGAGGAAGGGACCAGGAGTTCCACTAATCTTTCAGGCTGCTGACTCCCTTTCTCTCCACCATTAATCTCACTCCTTGGCAACTGACCTGCATGCATCTCAGTGATCCCTCAAGAGCACTGATTACTTCCCTCTCAGGAAAGATCACTAATCTCATTTACCCACTTGGGGATTGTCCCCTCAGGCCACTGACCCAAGTCTCACTGATCTTTTAGGCTATTACTGAATATTAATTCCGTTGACCTCCATTGGCCTCTTCAAGTTTAATGATGACCAACCTATCTGATCCCTAAGCCACTGACCCCATCCCACTGACCACTGGTCCCACTGACCATTCAGCCTACTAACCATTGAACACTGATTTCTCAAGGACTGATCTTTCAGGCTACTGACTATTAATCATGCTAAGCTTCAAAAATTTATAAAAAATGAATGTTAAAAATTGTCTTTGGATGTAATTGGAAAAAAATAAAATACTGTTTTAAAAAATCATGCTGAGCTCCACTCTATAGCCCCTCTCCCATCCAGGCTTTCCCCTTCCCTCATTTCCACAGACCCCTAACCACTAATTCCGATGATCTTTCCATTTGATTCACAGGCCAATCAGCCACCCTCCTGATTTTTAGTGGTCCTCAGTTTCACTGACTGATACATCTGTTGATTTTACTCAATCCCAGGGTTCCCTGGGACAGGAGCCATGTGTCCCCCGATACCCTAGCACTGCCCTTTGGTTCTGGAGGGACTGAAGGACCCCCCTACCTCCTGGGGGTTGCCTTCCATGAGCTGCCCTCCCTCCCGAGGATGAAGCATTGGCGGGCCTCCAGCAGAAGTGGGTGGCACTCACGGCTGGCCTGAATCATCTCATCAGCCTCCACCTTCTCCAGGAAGTAGGCTGGGGCCAGTAGGGGAAGCCGGACCTGCTCTAATAGACATGGCAGCTGTCCGTGTCTGGCAGGAGGGTCATGGTGCACCCAGCGCATGGCAGCCTCAAACACAGTCTCCTCTCTAGCAACCGCAAGGCTCTCATCAGCCAGCAGCTCAGCCACCTGGGCCAGCTCCAGCTCCAGGAACTCGGGCTGGAAAGAGACTTCTGGAAATGCCTGGCATAGCACCCGGTGGCTCCCCTCTGCCAGGGAGGGCAGGGAGAAGGTCTGAGCCAGCTTGAGGAAAGCCAGGCAATTCTCTGGTCCAAGCCGGCCCTCCAGGAAGTTGGCACAGGCCTCCCGAAGTGGAATCACCCCCAGCAGGTCAGACAGGGCCAGCAGAGCAGCTGCATCCTCCTCTGGCAGGCTCACGCCAGCCCCATAGAGGTGGTCCAGGAGCAGGCCCAGAACTCCTGGGGAGGCTTGAGGTAGGGGAATCACGTCCTCCTGGGGCCCACCACCAGCAAATAGGGCCCGGAAGTAGGTGCTACCAGCGGACAAGGCTGCCCGGTGACAAGGAAAGTCACAGTTGCCAGCCCGCAAGACCACATCCGTGAGGGTACCTCGGAGCTGGGACACATTGAGTGTCTGCAGGACATGGTCAGAGCTAACACAGGGCACAGCCCGGGACGGATGGTCTGAGCAAGGCTCTGCTTCCTTATTGGTAGGGTCCTCAGGCATCCTGTTTTATTAAAAATAAACAAATGAAAAATTACTTTTCTCCTCAATATTTCAAAGGCTTGAAGGAGGGAGGGCAAAGGAGATGAAGTGGGTTGTGACCCCCTTTTTTCAGGGTCCAGCTCAAGGCTCTGTACTCACAGAGAGTGATGACACATTTCCATTCAACCCAAGCCAACAAACATTAATTTAATGTCTATTCTGTGCCTGGCAAGATTCTAGATGATGGGGAAGCAAGCAAAGACGCCCGTTCTATCCCGTTCTTCACTGACGTAGTTTTTACCCTCATTGCCTCATTGCCTCTCACTTGGATTATTGTAATAGCTTTGTAATCAGCTTCTCAGCTTCTGCCTCTCCCCTTTCCAAAGCCATCCTCCACAGAACTGCCAAATTTATACTCTGAAAACACGGATCTGATCATAGCACTCCCCTACTCAAAAATCTTCAGTGACCCTAGAATAAAATACAAAATTCTCAACTTGGCATGGAGGGCCCTCCACAACCCGGCTCCCACCTCCCTCCCCAGTCTTCTTCTGTATTCTTCCCCTTCATGCCTTCTCCATTCCACTCAAACTGGGCTTATTGGCCATGCCCTGCACATCCATCTCCCACCTTTGGCCCTTTCACAGGCTGCCGCCATGTTTGGAATGCATACCTTCCCTCTCCTCTCCACTGAAAAGATTCTTATCTTTTCTCAAAACATAACCCAGGTGCCACCCTCTGCAGGAGGCCTTTTCTGATCCTTCTGATTTAGAATAGTGCCTGGCACATAGTAGGCATTTAATAAATGGTTATTGACTAATTGACAGATCCTTCGGTTATGAGTGTTGTCTCTGGTCTAAATATTCTCAATTCCTTCAACTTCTCCTCCTATGGCATAGTTTCTAGTCCTCTCACCATCCTAGGCACCTTCCTTTGTTCATAGAGGGTTTGACCCTTTCTTGATCTTGCATGGGGCAGCTAGGTGGCATAGTGGATAGCCTGGAGTAAAGAAGACTCATCTTCCTGAGTTCAAATCCACCCTCAGACACTTACTAGCTGTATGACCCTGGGCAAATCATTTAACCCTGTTTGCCTCAGTTTCCTTATCTGTAAAATGAGCTGGAGAAGGAAATGGCAAACCATTTCACTATCTTTGCCAAGAAAACTCCAAATGGGATCACGAAAAGTCAGACATTACTTAACTCAACAACCACAAAGATCTTGTATGGTCATCCTTGCACTCTACTTCATAGGACCTCAGTGAGGAAAGTGGTCTAGAGACTGTAACACATATGAAAATGAGAGTTATTTTTATTGTAAGATGACCTGATATAAGAGAAATGAACAGGGAGTGAGGAGTTCTGGTCTCAGCTCTGACATTTACTAGCACATGACCTTGGGAAAATCATTTCCTCTCTGTAGGGCTTTGTTTCCTCACCTGTCAAATCAGGGGGGCATCTGTTTCCCAGACCTAAATAATCCTGTGGATTAGTAAAATATCTAAGTCTTAGACTGCTTCTCTCTCTGTAGCCTCCACTGAAATGGAGGGACAGAATGTGCAAGGAGGAAATAGAAAGAAGAGTAAACTTATGTACAAGGCACGCTATTTGGGCCTCAGTTTCTTTATCTGTAAAATACTGGGGCAGGAATGGAATGGAAGGATCAGAGCTAGAACCTGTATAGGACAGTATAGAACCACATCAATCTTCTGGGACCTGGCTACCCACTTGGGTAGGTTTTTCCTGATGTATTTCCTGGTCCAAAGACTGATCCCTCAGGGTGTCTGGAATCACTGGGATCAGCCACCACCAGCAATCACTTCCACCTCCTCCCCAGATCCTACCTTCAGCCCTGGACCTCCCAAGCACTCACCCTTCTCTGCCCTTCCTTTCCTCAGTGGCCCCTCTCCTCTGTTGTTCAACTCCCTTTCATCCTAGACCCCTTCCTTTGTGCATTCCTTCAAGTTTCTGGTGCTCATTGAAATCTGTGTTATTCTTACATCTTCTGACATCTTCTCTAAAGTTTTTGGCTTCTTTTCTTCTGTCTCATGACAGACAGGGCCAGGAGGAGGAGCTGGCATATGCCTTAACCCCAGTGCCACTTTCAGACACCCCCTCCCCCTACTTGCCACCATTACTCGACAACCACTCACCTCCTCTCTCAGGTTCACTTAGTTTGGGACCCCATCCAGGTCCTTGAGGCTGTTACCTCCAGACCTCCAATGCATTCTTTGTCCTTCCCAATAAGTTCATCATTTGGTTCACAGTCCTCTCCTGCCTCATCTCCCCTTAGACACTTTGCCTCTCCATCCCCCTTTCTTAATGACCTCTGTCTCCTGTCTTCCTCAGCACATGGGTAGCACCATAGGATCCAAGATGTAGAACTGAGAGGGATCTCAGAGCTCATCTGATCCAACCCCTTCATTTTACAGAGGAGAAAACTAAAGGTCAGAGAGGTTAAATAACTTGCCCAGGTCACAGAAATAGTAAATATCAAAGGTGAGATTTGAACTCAGGTCTTCTTAGAGCATTTTATCTACCGTGCCATACTGTCACTGTCATTATATTTTAGACACTGCTTCCTCCTAACTCCACCAACTCAGATGAATTTGCCTTAGGTGTCTGTTCTTGGTTATGAGAGGAGGAAGAAGGCTTCACTGGCAGCATCTCAGCTTCCCTTCTCTCTCCCCAGATCTCTCAAACCAGAGTCCCGTCCAAGGTCAGTCTAGTCTCTCAACCTCATGGCTGGGGGTACAAAGGGGCTGGCCTCAGTTTAAGAAGATGCTAAGAGGAGGTTCAAAGGTCATCCAGTCCGATCTCCCTCCCGGTTCAGGAATCCTAAACTCCTTGGGCATCTCCCATGACCAAGAGCCTATGGCCTTCTGAAGCTGATTGGAAAGACAGCATGGCGTAGTGGATAGGGCACTGGGCACTGGAGTCAGGGAGCCAGCTTCAAGACCTGCCTCAGGCACTAGCTGTGTGACCTGGGCAAGTCACTTTACCTTAGTTTCTTATCTGGAAAATAGCATTGGGCTCAAAAGCCTCTAAGACCTCCCAGCTCTAAAGCTATGATCTGATTGTCAATTGTGGGTTAGCTCTGATTGGGACGAAGTCTCAATATAAGTAGAAATCTAACATACAGTAATTTACCCCCAACACGCTGAGATCTGCCCTCAAGGGACAGGTAGAAAACAAATCTGCTCACTCAGCCCTAACAGCCCTGCAAATTCTGAAGACAGTGATCCCATTCCCAAGCCTTTTCTTCTCTAGGCTTTAAATATGCCTGTTCAATCAATTGATGCTCCTATGATTGTCTTCCGTCCTTTTCTCATGTTTGTTTGCCTTCCTCTAGATGCCTCCAGCTTGTTACTGTTCCTTGGTGAACTCCAAGAAGCACACAGGAAAAAAGCAAATGAAAACGTACCAATTCTAGGACACATACACAGTTAACAAGCACTTACAGGGTCACAGATTTAGATCTGGAAGGGACCTTAGAGATATCTAACCTGATCCTCTCATTTTTACAGATCAAGAAACTAACACCCAGAGGCTGACATCTTCAAAAGTGTCAGGGCTGGGGTTAGAATGTGTGTCTTCTTTAAAGGCTAAGTTCAGAACTCTATGTCCTGTAGGGACAGACACCTGCACAGAAACACAGGCACACAGGAGAACACACAAATGCAAAGAAAGATACACACACTGGGGACACCCAAACAAGCAGACACAGGCGGAATCACCCAGCCGACCTGTCAGCCTGTGCCCCGGCCCAGCTGGGATGCACCGGACCTACCTGGAGGTTCACCTGGCTTGTCTCTCAGGAGCGCCACCGCTTGTTCTCACACCTCTGCCCAAGCCCAGCCCAGTCCGCCCCCGCACTACACCCTCTCAGGCTGAGCTGTGAGTGAGGGGAGGACAAAGCCTCATAGCCTTCAGGGGGAGGGGAAAAGGGAGAGAATCCCAGGCAGGGGAGGAGAGGGGCGGGGAAAGAGCTTTTGTTCCATTCCGAAGACCTGAAAGGGCTCGTGTGACTTGGCGTGCACGTGGCTGTGTTTGTTACTGTGATTATACGTGTGATTGTGTCCCTCAGTGTGCGATTCTGTATATATGAGTGTGTATCTCTGGGTGACTGAGATCGCGTATTGCCATGGTCATGGTTGCGTTTGTCACTGTGACCCTATGTGGAAATCAGCGTCTATATGCGCGCGCCAGTGAATGTGCATTTATTAAGCACCTACTGAGTTCTAAACACTGGAGCAGATTAAAAAAAAAAGTCTTCTCAAGGATCCCAGTCTAAAGGGAGAGATAAACAACTACACAAACAAGATATTTACAAGATAAATGGGGGGTAGTCTCTGAGGGAAAGGCACTACGATTGAGGATTGGGAAAGGCTTTTTTGCAGAAGATAGGATTTTAAAATTTTAGCTGGGATTTGAAGGAAATTAGGACAAGGGAGATGAGTATGGGGAGTGTTCTAGGCTTTGAGAACAACCAGTGAAAACCCACCGAGTAGACAGAGATGGAGTGTCTCACTCCAGGAAAAACAAGGAGGATAGTCATTGAATAGCAGAGTCCGAAGTGGGTGTGATAGGTCAGAAGATTGGAAATGCAGGAAGTCAGGTTATGAAGGGCTTTGAATGCCAAGTAACAGATTTTTATATTTGATGCTGGTGGGATAAGCAGGCACTGGAATTTATTGAATGTGTGTGTGTGTGTGTGTGTGTGTGTGTGTGTGTGTGTGTGTGTGTGTGTGTGATGGTCAGACTTGAACTTTAGGAAGATCTGTTTCACAGCTGAGTGGAGGATGGACTGGAGTGGACAGAGAACCTGAGGCAGGGAAAGTAAGCAAAAGGTCACTGCAGTAGCTCAGGTGTGAGGTGGTGGGAGTCTGCCCTAGGATGGTGGTAGTGGCAGAAGAAAGGAGCATAGGTAGGTAGACGAGAGATTTATGAAGGTTAAATCAACGTGACTTGGCCACAGGTTGGATATGGGGCGAGGGAGGAGAGAGAATGGGTTAAGGATACCTAGGATTTCATGTCTAGGTGACTGAGAGGTTAGTGCTGCCTTTGACTGAAATAGGGAAGTTAGGGAGAGGGGAGGGTGTGGGGGGGAGAAAGACAATGAATTGTTTTGGACATGTTAAGTGTAAATCATTTATGGGGCATCTAGTTCCAAGATTTCAAATGGGCAGTTGGAGATGCAATTCTGGGGGTTAGGACTGGATAAATAGATCTAAGAATCATCATCATCTGGTGCAGTGGATAAAGCTCTGGCCTTGGAGTCAGGAGGACCTGAATTCAAATCTGGCCTCGGACACTTGACACTTACTAGCTGTGTGACCCTGGGCAAGTTACTCAACTCCGATTGCCTCACCAAAAAGCAAAAAAAAAAAATCATCTCCATGGAGATGATAGGCAGCTAGGTGGCATGGTGGTAGAGTACTGGACCTGGAGGAAGACCTGAATTCAAATGTAGCCTCCAATGCTTACTAGCTTTGTGACTCTGGGTAACGTATTTAGCCTTTGCCTGTTTCCTCTTCTGTAAAATAAGGAAGTTGGACCAAGTTCTCTGAGGTCCAACTGGAAATTATGATCCTAAAGCCATGTCTGTATTCAACTTCATGTTTGTACATATTTGTGGAATAGCATTTGTATGTGTCTGTCCCTGTGTGTAGGCAGAGAAGGTTGCTGACTGATTCCAAGCCTCCCTCTGGGACACAGATAGGAGGAACAAAATGGAAGCTCCTCATACCATTCCCAATCCCAGAACCCTGCGCTGATCCTGGGAGAGTAGGGGAGGCTGGAGAAGGTGATGAGGGAGAGGAATAGAAGTCCTTTGGAATTAGGGGTGAGAATAGAGAGCCTTCTTGGGCTGTGGAAAGAGCCCTGCCATAGGGAAATGACCCGCTATGGTGTGTGTCCCAGGATCTTTGATAGGTCCAGTCACCTTTTTGAACCTGTTTCTTTTTCTGTAAAATAAGGAGAAGGTGGTTTTTAAGGTCCCTTCCAGCTCTAAATTTTATGATCTTAAGGAAAATATGATCCTTGGTTTAAAAAAAATAAGGCATTAGATGACATCCAAGGTCTCTCCTAGATGAAGAAACTGAGGTACAGAAAGGTGAGTGACTAGCTAGTAAGCTAGTAAGTGGCATAAATCAGGATTTAAACTCATAGTCCTTTGATTCCAAATCCATCCTTTTTTTGTAAATCTGTGATTGGGGAGAAGAGAGCATAGCACAGGGGTAATGAAAGAAGGAAGGCAGAGGGGAGGAGAGAAGGGGAGGGTGCTGGAAAATGCCCTGGACTTGAAACGGACCTGGGTTTAAATCCCTGCTCTGAGGTATATGATTTGACTTCAGGTAATCTTAATCTCTCCAAATTTCAGTTCCCCAATAGTAAGATGAGGGGATTAAACTTGGCTCTTCAGCTCCATTTAGCCAAACGAATTTATTTTAAAATGTGTGCTACTCTCAGTTGGCTCCTGGGAAACTGGGCAGTGCTGAGCCCCTCTTTAATGGAGACCAAGATAGGGCTGGGATCCTTTCATCTCTTATCCCCAACCACTAGGTCCCCAGGGCCCCTGGGAGTTGGGTGGTATTTGGGGACAGATCCAAAGTTACACCCAGACCTAATATTAGATTTACAGTCAAGGCTCCAGGAAGTTTAAAGTTCCCATGTTTTTGGAAATCCTCTCACTTAAAAGTTTGGAGGAAGACTAGCTAGCCTTCCTCAGTGCAGGTTAAGAGCGATTGAAGTGCCCAGAATCCTTTTCTCTCACCTCCCACCTGCAGGAGAAACAGCTAGGGGGCCTTGGAGGGGTATTTAGACCAACTTCCCTCCCCGTGCTGAAATCCCCTTTTATAGTCTCCGTGACTGGGCCATCCATCCCCTGCTTGGATCTGGAATGATCTAGGATGAGCTCACTACTTCATAAGATAGCTATTGTGTCACAGAAACTTCTGATTGAGTTGAAACTTACCTTATTCCTCTCAGGACTTTGCCCCACCCCCACTGAGTTTCCCTTTGTGTTTCCCCACTAGAATGTAAGGTTCTTGAGGGCAGGCACTGTCTCTACCAGTATTTGTATCCTTAGCATTTTAGCTCAGTACCAGGTAAACATTAAGCACTTAATAAATGCTTCTTGCTTCATCTCTCTGTACCACATACCCTTTTCCCAGTTATCTGGGATTGTAAAGAATACAGCTTCGCCACCCCTTAATGGCCCTGGTTCTTCCTCTGGGGTCACAAAGGCCCTAAACCTTTAGACAGTTAAACAGAGCTCAGGTGTCCTTGTAAATCTTTTCTTCATCAGGTTCAATAGCCAATATGGCTTCTCTCCCCATGCTGGTTCCATTTCTCTCATACAACCCTTCAAAGACTGGGAAACGTGACTCATCTGGAAGGCAGCAAAGGCACCGCCGGCCCTGAAGTTTTCAAGTCCTGGTTTTGTTATTGATTCTGGCTTCTCTACCATTGACTAGCTAGCAGGGTGACCACAATTCCCTTCCCTTCCCCAAGGTCTGTTTCCTTCTTTCCAAATGGATTGAGCTGGACCTTTCTAGTCATTTCCTGAATGAAAATCTCCTTGCCCCGCTGGACCCTGTCGGGGAAGCCTGGGATTGGCTCCCCCTGTCTCCCCCCACCCCAGTAGAGGACTGGCACACACAAGCTGATGAATGTCTGGCTCTACATGGGTTGGTTTACCCTTTTAGGCTTACCCTCAAATTTATTTTTATTTTTTTCAATTGATAAGAATTTTCTTTTCTCCTTTCCATCCCCACCACCTCAAACAAAACAACCCCCTTGTAACAAATAAGCAGAGTCAAGCAAAACAAAGTCCTGTGTTGTCCACATCCAAAAACATCTCCTTCTGCATCCTGGATTCACCATCTCTCTGCCAAGAGGCTGGCAGCAAGCTTCATCATCGGTCCACTGGAATGGTGAAATGTCACTTCTCCTCCAGTTTCTCATACCTGGACCTCTCCTTTGAGCTACAGAGAAAAGCATGGTCGAACTTGGGAGTGGTTTCTAATCCTGGTTCTGGCAATCAATCAATCTACACTTATTAAGCACCTACTATATGCCAACCTTCTGCCACTGCCCTCTGGGTGTTTCCTTTTCTATAATATGAAGTAGGACAAGATGATTTCTGGCACAACAGCTCTGAAATTTTACTTCATCCATGACTTCATCCATTGTACCTATGTTCTACTTAAACATTTTGTTGTCTTTGCCCCAATTAAACTGCAATCCTCTTGAGGGGCAGGGACTGAACTTTCTGTATCACCAGCACTGGTAAGTCCATTGAATTATATCAGCTCTGGTGTCAGGGTATGAGCTCCTGAGTTAGCAGGGCCCAGGGCCTTCATTCAGTTTATGTATGGAGAGAAAAAGCTCATCTAGGCTTTTGCTCGCTCAAGTGTACTTTCTGCAGCACAGCATACTTGCCAAATTACTAACCTGCCCAGGCCCATCTGCTGTCTTTTAGACACACACACACTCCCTATAACATGGAATCCTACCAGAGCAGGGCTCCTGTGTTCCAGACTGAGACATCAGAAATTCCTTGATGCCGAAGGCTCACTCTCACCCCACCTCGAGAAGTACTGAGATCTAGTCCTTGGCCAGTGTGACACAGCCCCCAAGAGAGAACTGCACCTAGCTTAGGAACTTGGACAAGGACACTGTCTCAAAGATCGGGGGAGGGGACACCTGAAAATCTAATGGTCAATAGCTGGAATGGGTTTTCTGTGTGCATGTCCTGCCTTGCCAGAAGGATTGTGAGCTCCAGGTGCTCTGCCCTGAGATGTGTTTTTCCTGGTCTTCCTCCTTCCTTCTCCCCTCCCCCCCAACCCAGATTTAGCCCAAGGAAGATGAGAAATCAGTCACATTTCTTTTGAAGGGGGAAGAAAAGGAAACCCCTAAGTCTAGAAGAACATATCTCAAAGAAAGCTAACAGGATTAGAAATGGTGAATATAAGAAAACATTCCTGTCCTGTCTCTGCTCCTTTCAAACCAAATGAGGTAATACTTGTAAAGCACTTAGCACTATGCCTAGCACATAGTAGGTGCTGAATAAATGTTTGTCTCCTCTCTCCTTTCCCCACCCATCAGAAGAAAGGAAGAAAAAGGTCCTTAGGGGAGGGGAGGTGGTAGAAATAAGTTTCTTGTCTGCTCAAACCAGGAAAGAAGCTATTCCTTTCAACTCTCCCATTAACTCATCAACTCATTTTCTTCCCTCCTCAGGTATATGCAGGTAGGGTACTGGATTAGGAGTCAGTAGATCTGGGTTCAAGGGTCACCTCCTACATGAAGCCTTTCCTGATCTTTCCCATCCCCAACTGCTCAAACTACCCTGTATTCATTTTCTTTAAATTTTGCATAGACATAAATGTTGGCTCCACTCAGAACATAAGCTTCTTGAGGGCAGGGATTGATGGTTTCACTTTTGTCTTTGTATTCCAGTGCCTGGCACATAACTAGGTGCTTAATAAAAGCTGGTTGATTGATTTGCTGATTACTAAAGAGATGTGAGCTAAGGATCATTGTCCCGGTAGATGATGTGCTGGACCTGGAAGCAGGAACACATGTGTTCACATCTGATCTCAGACACTCACTAGCTGTGTGATGACCCCGGGGGCAAGTCACAATGCCTTTGCCTGCCTCAGTTTCCTCATCTGTAAAATGGGATTATAATAGCACCAACCTCACAGGGTTGTAGTGAGGATCAAATGAGATCCTATTTGTGAAGTGCTTTTCAACCTTAAAGCACCATATAAATGTTAACTATTATTCATCCCCACCTGCTTCCTTCCCTCCCACCCTTCCCCCACCCCAAGCCTTCTCTTTTCTAAGCTGAACATTCCCAGCTCCAACTGATCTTGTCTGGAATGATCTCCTGTCCCTCTGCCACCCTGGCTGCCCTCTGCTGCTAGGCACAGGATGGCACAAGAACACAAGAAACAGGGCATTTCTCTTCTTGTTAAATAAGTGATTCTTCAGGGAGTAATACCACATGTGCTTCCATATTTACATGGTGATTGGAGCTGTTATCAGCACTCATCAGAGAGGGGCCCATTACCCCTGTAGGCCATATTTAAAAATTAAAAAAAAATGAATTTCATTCATGCGCACAGACAGACATCTTACACACGTACGGTCCTCTCTGTGGTTTGGAAGAGTCCCAGGTGGTCCTGACCACTGGACCCTTTTGTACTGTAGTTCCACTGTGGTGGCAGAGCTGACTGAGGAAACATCTCTGCTTGGGGCATGGGGAAGGAAGAGTCAGCTCCTGTCTGGGGTTTCCTCTTAGCTTCCCCCACATGGGGTTGACAAGGAGCACTGAGTTTCCCGAATTCCCCCCACCCCCATCTTCATAGCAGCTGGGGGCAGTGACTACTGTGGGCTCTGCTCTTCCCAGGAGTTCTGGAACCAAGCACCTCCTAATAGGAAGGGTTCCCTCCCATAGGGACCATAGCCTCCCTCTATGACCACGGCCAAGGTCAGCTTGGCTCTTGATTCTGACCACCCAGAACATATACAGGGATGAGGTGCTTGGCCAAAGAGGACCCTAACAGGGTTGGTGGTAATTGAGAATGTGGGTGAAGGCAGAGCTGAGGGGTTGGGGAAGGCATCTTGACAACTGTCTCTCCATGTCACATTGATGTCCCCACTGGAGCCAGTCTGGGGACCTGCATGGGGTACTTTCTGCTGGTCTCTGCCTTGCACCCCAACTTCCTACACACACTACCAGCTCTCAGAGGGCTTTCTACATATTTACAGGCCAGGCCATGGGGCCCAGTGGCCCTTCCCATGCTTGGCTGGAAGGGTAGGAATGGATTGGGGACACTGGATCTTTCAGGGTTAGCGTCCTCCTCTGCCAGGGCGTGTCTTGGGCTCCACGGGGGTGAGGACATCATTGGAAAAGCCATTTTCGGAACACATGGAGAGATCATCCGTGTTCTCTACACCATCGCTGATTTCTGAGAGTCAGGAAGGGAGAAGTGTCATTAATATATGTATGTACATGCTCATGAAACAGAAGAGATGAGAAATAAAGGAGTGGGGAGCAGGGAAGAATGCATGGCCAAAGACACCTCCACCTGGCCTGGGGGAGGAGGCAGGCACACTGATACTAATGTCAGAGACACCCAATCTCTGGATGAAGTGGGGGAGGGTAAAGACTCTGGCTCTAGCTAAACTGGACATCTATCTGCTAAGCCTCTGGCTAGGATTCTGCTCAGATTCTTCCCAATATCCTCATTCAATAATTCAAACTGCAAACCTTAAAGCACTAAATACTTTCTTCTTTTGTTATTAATTTATTATATGATGGGGAGGGAATAGTGAGGGACAAGTCTAGAGAGACCGGCTAGATGCTATCAACAGCCTTGAATACCATGATAGGTGAAGGTGAGCCACTGAAGGCTGCTGAGAGGAGGAATTCTGTGATCAGAGCTGTGTATTAAGATGTAATGGAAGGAATCCTGGCTTTGCTCCTTCTGAGCTATGTGATCTTGGGCAAGTCTTATAATCTTTCTGGACCTCAGTATCCCATATGTAAAATGAAGGAGGCAGTCAGACTAGATCTTGAAGGCGCCTTACTGTCTTAAATTCTGTGTTTCAGCACAATGCCTTGGGTACTACATGAAGAGAGGACTAAGGGAAGGAGTCTGGAACCAGGGAGCCCAGTTGTGACCAAAGACAAATGAGAACTCAATTAGTTGTTTCAGACCTTTATCTCCAGAGACTTAGACGACCATTTCAGATGGAAGTGGAGAGGTGGGGGGAGGAAGACAGACAGACAGAGATGGAGAGGGAGAGGGAGAGAGAGATGCTGGAGAGAACAGAAGGAGGGAAAGGCTAGAGAGGCTCTGGGGAGGAAGAAAGGGGAAGGGGGCAGGGAGAGCCTGGGGGGGAGAAGTGGAGATGGAGGGAAAGGTCACCCATGGAGAGAAAGCGACATTGGTCGTGGGATAGAAGGGAAGGGGATAGAGAGATCTGGAAGGGAAGGGGTACATGGGTGTAGGTGTGGTGGTGAGGAACCCCAGGGGTGTTCAGGGAGAGGAGTTCTTTAGGACAGAGATGTCAACTACACTGCCTGCTCCCCACTTAGGCCTGACCAGATAAAAATGTAATTAGGAAATGTTTAACAGTAAGTAAAAATGCAATAATCATAATGCTAAAATGTGGTTTTCAAAGTCAATATGCACCCACAGGGATCCTTATATATAGTTTTGTGGCCCTATTTCTATCTGAGTTTGACTCTACTGATTTAAGGGATAGAGGGGGAAGGGAGGCTCCTTAGAGAAGGAGAAAACAGAGACCTTAGGAAGGAGACAGAGGACCAGGAGGAGGCTGCTAGAGCCAGATCCAACTGGCTTGTGCCCATTCTCAGAAAATTCTCAGTTAAATTCTCAGCAAATCAGGCTTGATCTACTATTTTGTTGATTGTCTAGACTTAAGAAAGTGATGGAGAAAATGTTCATAGTGCACATTAAACTAAATTAAAAGTATGTCCTGCATACATTTCCAGGAGGTAATTAAGAGGACCAGAGGAGGAACAGAGAGTCTTTTCTCTTGAGAAAAGGGATAATATGGAGAATGGGGGGGGCACGCCAAGGAAGAAAGTAGGATTCTCAGATCTGTAGTATTCATACATTCATAGTTTAGAGCTGGAAGGGACCTTAAGAGCTGTCTAATTCAACCAGCACATTTTCTTTTTTTAAAAAATCAATCAATTAATTAATTTTTAGTTTTTAACATTCGCTTCCTCAACCAGCACATTTAACCAATGAAGAAATTAGTTTCTTCAGAGAAGTGACTTGCCCAAGGTCACACAGGGAGTAAGGAATAAAGTTGGGAATTGAACTCAGGTCTTCTGACTCTAAGGGCAGTTAGATGGTGCCATGATGCACAGAGTTCGGGCCATCAGGAAGACTCATCTTCCTGAGTTCAAATCTAGCCTGAGACACTTTTACTAGCTGGGTGACTCTGGACAAGTCATTTAACCCTGTTTGCCTCAGTTTCCTCATCTGTAAAATGAGCTGGAGAAGAAAATGGCAAACCATTCCAGTATCTAGGCCAAGAGAACCCAAAATGGGGTCACGGAAGAGTCAGACATAACTGAAACAACTGAACAACAACAACAGGGATTGCGAGAGGCAGAAGTGAGGTGTGACAGCGTGCCATGTAGCAAAGACTCCATTTCAGCTGAAATGTTGACTATGTGAAGGTGAGTGATATCGACAATTGAAGTCAATAAGCATTTATTCAGCACCTTCTTTTCGCCCTGTCCAAGGCACTGGGGATTCAAGAAAGGCATAAAACAATCCCTGCTCTCCAAGAGCTCAAGGGGGAAGGCAACATGTAAATAACTACATACAAACAAGCCACAGATGGGATCAACTGGAGATAATAAGAATCCAATCTAGAAGATGGGGCGGAGTCAGATGGTGAGGGATTTGAAATGTCAAGCAGGGGCAGGTGTCTTTTATTCTGGAGGCAAGAAGGAGCCAGGGGAGACACTGGAGTGAGTACATGTTTAACCTTTTGCTTTCGGGATGCTGATTGGCAGCTCTAGAGGGTATATTGAAGGAGAGACTGTAGGCGGACACTGTTGGGAATCTCTGTAGTGCAGGGAGATATAAGGATCTGAGCTAGAGCGAAGCTGTGCGAGTCCAGAGAACGGGACACATGTGAGAGATGTTGGGGAGGTAGAATGGATGTGACTTGGCAACTCATTGGATACGGGGAGTAGGGCTGAGAGAGAAAGGAGGAGCTTCATAAATGGATGATGAAAATTCATTCATTCATCTATCAACCATTTATTAGTCAGCAGCTTTGATGTGCAGCACGCTGTTGGGCACATAGCAGCCCCTGAAAAAAATACCAGTTGACTGAATGACTGACTTGGCCCTGGGGGAAACAGAAAAATAATCTATCTTCCGGTAGCCTGCATATGCTCTAAGAACCAATTCCAATGCCTCCTCCTCCTCCAAGAAGTCTCCCTAATCTCCCCCAAAGTGATTTCTTCTTCCTTGGAACTCTGTATGTCTCTTACGTTGTTACCATATTCTTATTTGTATTTTAGTTTTCTGTTCCCTCTGTTCTTAGCCCACCTACTAGACTGTGAACTCCCTGAGGACAGGGACTGAATTTTTCTCTATTATCTCTCTATACACAGTAGGTGCTTAATAAATGTTTGTTGTAACTTGTGTCTCCTCCAACATAGTGCTCTGCACACAGTAGGGGAGTAAATATGTCTTGAATGGATTGCATTAATAAGTTGGGGCAGGAGAAGGTTCCTCTTGACTAGGGGTCTTTGATACCCCATTTGTCTGTGCTGGTCCCCTTACTGGTCAATGGGCTTGGGGACTGAGAAAGATACTGGTAAAGGGGCCAGGAGAGCTCAGGACTCTGGGGGTGCCAATGAAGAGGCCCATCCCTTCCAATCCCTCAAGCTGAGCCGTCCAACTTTGGGGGAAGGGTGTTGAAATGAGGGATTCTCTATAAGCTGGTGTCAATTCTGGACCAAGCCCACCCAACTCTCCCTTCTGTTTGAAGACACTTTTAGCTGATTTTGGGTGGAGACACTCTGCAGTATCACAAAGTTAATCAGGCATTCTCAATACTTTTTAATGAAAACATTCTTGTCAGTGTAGTTGATCCCAGCAGGAAGATGGATTTGCACAGAATGATCCACAGTCTCTTATCTTCTCTAGTCAGTGATCATGTAGGGTCAGGGCTCAGTCTGGGGCCAGAATTAAGGAAGCAAGGGAGATGGTTTCATTAACACCATGCTCATGCCAATCACCTGGCTTCTTTTACTCTTGAGGATGTGAGGCAGCACTGCCTCCTTCTTTTTTTTTTTTTGGCAGCACTGCCTTCTGAAATACTTCTGAAATAGGGGGAGAGGGGAGGTCTAGGAACATGGTTCATATTGCCACCTAGTGGGGAAGCATGAAAGAGACCAGACCTGGGGGCTTGCTAAGATGGTCTTTAGTGGGACTTAGAATCCTCGAATCCAAAATGACAGAACACAGAATGCTGGATCTGGAAAGTTTCTTAGAATAGAGAATGTCAGATCTGAGAGGGACCTTAGAACCCAGAACGTCAGAGCTGGGAGGGCCTTTAGAACAGAGACTTGTAACAAAGAATGTCAGAACTGTTAGGAGTCTTAGAACACAGAAATGTCAGGACTGGGATGGGCCTTAGAACATAAAATGTCAGACTTGGGAGGGACATTAGAACACAGAATGTCAGAGCTGGAAGGGTTCTCTTTGAACAAGATGGTGGGAATAGTAGGAGCATAGCAGAGAACTTTTGGGTATGGATGATACATTGAAAAAGACTGCTGGTCTTGCAGTCTACAGAGAGCTAGGGTTTAAACCCTACCCTGATGCTCACTAGCTGTGTGACCATGGTGAATCACTTAGCCTCTCCAAACCTCAGTTTTCTCATCTGTAAAATGGGGATAATACCTGTCATACCTTCCTCATAGGGTTGTCATATAGCTCAAATGATAAAATTTTTGTAAAGGGCTTTGTAAAACTTAGAAACACTATGTAAATGTCAATGTTATTAAAGAAGGAAGAAAAAGGTGGCATCATGGTTTGAGCAAATTTAGACTGACTGCCTAGCTTCCTGCCAAAACCAAAAAACCAAACCAGGACAGAGACAAGATATAGAAGCAGTGTGGGGGTGGGGGAGACCTCAATTCCCCAGTCATTTGCTGGGCCTCTTTCTGTGAGGAAACATTTTTTGACTTGCATTAATGATGATTTAGAAGAAGGTAGGAGTGGCATCAGTGATTGTTATCCTTGATCTACTTCTCCCAAACAAGTTGAAATGACGGGAGTCTTAAGAAGAAGTATTGCAGCCAATCCCCCTTGGAGTACAGGCTAGAGGACCAGAAATCTGGGGGCACAGCAGATTCCCAAGGGTTTGAAGGAAGGACAGCGAGGATCTCTGGCCTGTAGGGTAGGTCATTTCACGACTCACGGGAAACTCTCAAGAAGGAAAGCCTACTAACACAAACAGAAATCATTCCAATGGGGGAAAAAAGAGAAGCTAGCTGTCAAAGCCTTTGAGACCCTCTGATTTAAAAAAAATCAACTGAATAAGTCCAGGATGGGAGAGGTATGGCTGGACAACAGTAAGTATGTAAAGGAGCCAGGGATTTTGATGGACTGCTCAGCTAATGTAATTCAGTAAGGTGACAAGGAAGCTAAGCGAATAGGACATAGCAGAAAGTCTAGACCCTAGAGCAAAGGATCTTCACTTGGGGCCCATTAACTGGCTTATATGAATATTTTCAAGGAAGCTGGTAGTATAATGTATGATATAGCACTGGGCCCAGAGTCAGGAAGACCTGAATTTGAATCCAGCCACAGACACTTCCCTAGCTGTGTGACCCTGGACAAGTCACTTAACCTCTGTTTGCCTCAGCTTCCTCAACTATATAATGAAGATAATGACAGCACTTACCTCGAAGAGTGTTGTGAGGATCAAAGGAGATACTATTTGTAAAGCTCTTAGCACAGTGCCTGGTACATAGTAAATGCTATATAAATGCTTATTCCCTTCCCACTATTTTGATAATTCTATTTCAATAGAATCTATTTCCTTTGTAACCCCTATGTAGTTCATTTTTATGCAATTAAAAACATCATTCTGAGAAGGGGTTTCCCCAGACTGCCCAAAGGGTCTATGACAAAGCTTAAGAAGTAGAGTGAAAACAGTCAGGGTCCCACTCTTCTCAGCCCCCATCAGGCCACATCTAGAACAATTTTGTTGTGGGTACCACATTTTAGGAAGGACACTGACAAACTGTTAACAGTTAAATAACAAAACTGAGCATCATCTAGACAAGTGATTTATTTAGCAGCACATGTGGTTGTAAAACAAACCAGACTCAGGGCTTTCAGTAGCCAAGAACTGAGGCGGTTGGTTGACTTTGAGACTCCATTTCATAAAATGGTAAATAAAGGCAAAATGGAGTCATTGATGCTATTTCAAGGTTACAAAACTGAAGAGTGTCCAGAGACCACTGATGGGCAGAGCACTTGAAACCATGTCACATGGGATGGGGTTTAAGGAACCAAGGGTATTCAGTGTGGAGGTGGAGGAGTGCTCAGGGCAGATGTGAGGGCAGTCTCTACTATCTGCAGAGTTGTCATGTCAAAGAAGGGTTAGATCTGCTTTGCTTGGGCTGAGAGCAGAATTGGGCTTCAATCAATGGTACTGAAGAGGATTTCAATTCAAGTAAGGAAAAACTTCCTAATGGAGAGCTGTCCTAGAAACCCCATTCCCTCCCAGGGTTAGTTACAGGGAGGCTGCATGAATGATTTTGGGAATATAAGAGGTGGAATTCATGATTCAGCCAAGGGTTGGACTAGATGCCTTCTGTGATCCCTTCCAGATCTGAGATTCAGTGACTCTGTGAACGCAGAACACAAAATATTCAAGCTAGAAGAGAACACAGAACACAGAACATCACAGCTCGAAGGGAGCTTAGAACATAGAATAAGAAGGCTCAGAAAGAGAAGGAACCTCACAGGGCAAATATTCCAACTTGCTCATTTTACAGATGGGGAAACTGGGGTCTAGAAAGGGAAATGACTTTGCCCCAATGACATACATACAACCAGCCAGTGGCTCAGTCAGGTCTAGAACTGAGGTCTCCTGAGGACCATCTCACTCCGCTTTATCATTGTGACTTGTGAAATTCAAATCCTTAGGGCTCGTTAGCCCAGGATGAGAAATGATGGTTGAATTTATGGGAAATGTCTATCTGGGCCATTTGCATATAATCTGTTTCCAGAACTGCGAGTCTCAAAAATGTGTGAGACTGGTTTTAAGGACTGTGTGAATGGTGCGAACCTATCTCTGTTGACAGAGGCACGACTTAGGGTATGTGTCCTACTCACGGCTATATAAAGGGCAGGATATTCACAAAGATGGGCACATACACACACACTCATACACCAGGCTTTCCCCATGATAGAGTCCATCGGCTAGGGCATATCTGTCTATGTTGTGGAGCTAAGGAGCAGCTTCTAAAGAGAGACATTCTTTATGGTAGGCATTCTTAACCTAGGGTCTGTGACCTTTACAAAAAATTCTGATAACTATTTCAATATAGTTTCCTTTGCAATATTATAGATTTTATTTTATATATTTAAAAACATGACTCTGAGAAAGGGTCCATAGGTTTCACCAGACTGCCAAAGGGGTCCATTACACAAAAATGGTTAAGAACCCCCGATTTAAGGGATGCCCTTTCTCAGGACAGCTGGGACAGGGTACTTGCTCCCCTTTTCCACATTTCCCACCTCCAGCTTTATCTTTCCCAGATCCCTCCCTCACATCAGGTTCAGAGTGAAGATCCTGCGGCTCACCTGAAAAGATCAACTTCTCTTTCATGATCTTGACATCACGGCTGGTCCTACGCACGGCTGCACTGAGCATGATCTGCTCTGGGTTGTAGGTCCGGATGCTGCCCAGTCGCCACCTATGGATGGGAAGAAGGCTGAGGGTGACGCCCTACTGTTTTGGGTGGCCTGGGCCTGAGCCCTGAGCCAGCTGGCCCTGCCTGCATGATAAGGGCCAGTTAGGGACAGGGTCAGAAAGCCTGATCACAGGGCTTAGCATTTGGGTCTCAGGTCTTGCTGTTTCCTCCCTTTCCAAGAAAGAGACCCCAAGCTACAGTAGTCCCCTCTGGAACAGAGTATTCCAGAAAGCAGGGGAAAACTAAGAGTCATAAATCATGTTCTGTCAAAGTTAGAAAGCTTCTCAGAACACAGAATGCAGAGCCAGCAGGGCCCTGAGAGGGCATCTTCTAGTCCAGAGAAAAAACTTGAGGCTCAGAAAGGGCCACGACCAAGGTCATGGAGTAACACAGCCCAGTCTAGAACCTAAGCATCCTGTTCCCTGGCTCAAAGCTCCTTCCAGCATATATCTCACCCTCTGAGGGGCACACTGTGTTTGTAAATGTCTAGCCTATCCCCTACCCTTGCAAGAGGGTCTGCTTTAACACAGGTCATGATTACAGGGGAACTAATGATTAACAGTAGTCTCTTGTTGTATACTACTATAATAGAGACACTATTTACAGGGAATCTATAATCATTATAACAGAGATCACTATTATAGTGACTCGCTATAATAGGGACTTAATATAAGAAACGCTAGCTATTAAGAAAGGCCTGTTATATATTTGAAAGGTATACTATAAAAGGGGCCTGCTCTACCAGCGATCACTACTACAGTGGCCTGCTACACTAGGTGCTTAGTATAAGAAGGACCTATTGGAACAGTGACCACTGTTACAGCGGCATGCTATATAACAGGGGCTGAATACAAGAAACGCTAGCTACTAAGAAGGGCCTGTTACATAATGGAAAGGTATACTGTGAAAGACCTGCTAGATCAGCGATCACTACTACAGTAGCTTACTATAATAGGGGCTTCATATAAAGAGTCTGCTAATACAGAGATCTATATTACCGATAACGTACTACCAAAGGAGTCACTATTACAGAGGCATCAGCTAGGACAGGCTACTGTAGAAGAGGCCCACTGCATAGAAGATCTGTTTTAACGCAAGTCTTTATTAAAGGGGATCAACAGTGATTGCTGCAGAGAAGAAGGCATTGCCAATACCAGATCTGGTCTAGCTAAGATCTACTGTAACAATTATCAACCAGAAACAGGGGCCTATTGGGACTGTGATCTGATCCAGGAGGTCTCTGATATAATGGAGATTGGCTATCCAGCAGGTGGGCACCAGGCACCAGAGGTCTGCTTTAACATAGGTGTGCTATTAGAAAAGTCTCTAGGGCAGAGAACTGGCTGTAATGGGAGTGGGCTAAAATAGCTCTGCTTTCACAGGGTCTACAGTATGTGGGGTCTGCTATAAGAAGGATACACTGAAAGGGCCTTCTATAGCAGAAGTCACTGTCAGAGGGAGTCTTCTATAACCTGCAGGATTATTATTCAAGGAGGTTTGCTAGATCCAGACTTGGATATAAAAGTATTTTATATCCAATACTGGGTATTTTATATAAAACATAAAAGAGGCTTACTGGTTTGATAAGGGGTTGTTATACTGGGGTTCACTGCAACAGGAGTCTACTATAACAAACTTTGGCAGGGGCTGGGCTATTGTAAGAGGGAGCCTGCTAGAACAGGGTGGGTGAGGGGGTGGGTGGATAGCATCTGCTTTTAATGGCTAGGGAAGAAGGAAGCAAGAGAAAGAAGGGAGGACAATCTTGTGGGGGAGAGGGAGGAGCACAATGGGCAGAAGAGCGAAAGGGGAGCAGAGCTTGTCACCAGGGAGACAGTGCTCCTCTCCCTCTCTTTTACCCCCAGTGCTAAAGCAATGTGACAATCCCAAACCGCTCTTCAAGGGCGGCTACAGTCTGAAGCATTAACCAGTCATGCTGAGGGTGTTCCTCTGCTGGCTAAAGGCAACAAGCTAAGTGAGGAGTAAGAGGTGGTGGAGGAACGGTGTTGAGGGGAGGCTGGAGAGGGAGGGTATCGAAAGGGGGCATGTATGAGTCAGGGAAAGAGAAGGGGAAGGAGGCAAATGACCAGTGAGGCCTTTGGGTCCATCCTTTGCTGGGACGGGGGGAGGGACAACTGTCATGGGGAGGCAGAGAATGCTAGGGTTCTTCTCCCAGTCAATGGCTTATCCAGGGAGTAGGGATAGGCTCCTCCCCCACCAAAAATCAATGGGATCATTTTATAAATTAATTATCCACAAAAAAAGGGTAGAAGGTGAGTTCTGGCTAAAAAAGTAGGTGTAAATTTGCAGGGGTATTACTAAGAACATTCCAATGGGCTCCATCTCAAGTGACCCTTCCCTCAACATATAAAAATCTGGCTTGACATCCAAAACAAATTAGAGGAACAGTACTTTACGAAAGTGATTCTTCTTTTAATCAACTAGGGTTCTCTTTACGTGTCAGTTTCTCTGACAAGTGTTTAAAAGAATACAAATCTGAAGTACCCAGGCAGAGATCCACTAGCATAGAAAAGCCTGCCCCATATAGCTACAGCTAGGGGCAGGAGCCAGACCTTCCTTCCTATCCTCCGAAGGCAGGGGAATCAAGGTAAGGCTTGGACAACATTGCAAAAGATGGAAGTTGGACGGCAGGAAGCATTTCCTGCTGGCAAGGGCTGCTGGGCAGTGAACTTGGAAGGAATGGGAAAAAGAATGAGGGCAGGAGGACCCTTAAGCTGTGCCAACCCTGCCACAGACACCTGGAATACCAGAGGAGGAAGCATCTAGGGGATCATCCAATGCAACCTCCTCATTTGGCAGATGGGCAAACTGAGGCTCAGGAAGGGAAATGACTTGCCCATGGTCACAGAGCAAGTTAGTGGGAGAGCTGAGATCAGAACCCAAAATCTCCCTAAAGGAGGAGGTAAGGTTAAGGAGGATTGGGAGGTGGGGGTTGGAGAATAGGATGGGCAGAGGGGAAGAGAGAGGGAGAAATCCACGATCATTGATAGAGAGAGAAGCAGAGACAGTGGCAAGCAGAAATTAATCTATATTGGGGGGTGGAGGAGAGAGACAGAGAAGTGGGAGGGAAGGGAAGAGGGAGAAAAAGAGAGAAGGAAGGAGGGAGAGAGAGAAGAGAGGGAGAAGAAGGGAAGGAGAGAGATACAGAAGGGGAGAGACTGAGCCACATGTCCAGGGTATTCTGGAACTGTGCTAGAACTGTGCTAAGTGCAATGCCAACCATGGCCTACCAGACACCACCACTGTACAAAGTCTGGTCTGGGAAGAAGCCTACAATTAACACCTGTGCTTTCATCCCATAGAGCTCCAGAGCTCCCTTGGCATGCAGCAGAGCCCATATCCCCTGGATGGCTGGGCCATGGGGCTCACTGCTCCCTCCCCTTTGGCCCAGGAAAGGGCCTAAGGCAGTGGTTCTTAATCTGGGGTCTGTGAACCTTGAAAAAAAACCATATTTTGATAACTATATTTTAATGTAATTGGTTTACTTTGTAATCCTATGCATTTATTCTATGAAATTAAAAACGTGACTCTGAGAAGGGTCCACAGGCTTCCCCACACTGCCAAAAGAGGTCCAGGACATAAAAATGATTAAGAACAGGCTGAAGGGAACCCTGAAATGTGATGGGGTGGGGAGACTGAGGCAGCCTTCTCCTCTTTTGGGGATCTAAAGGAGTTGTCAGTTGGAACACCAACTGACGAAAGCAGTGGTTTTTCCTTTTTTTCCTCTTCCTGGCTCGGCCCCTGTCTTTATTCTCACCTTAGCCCCCCAGCCCTGCTGAGTGCAATTCTCTTATCCAAGGGGGATATTAGGCCGAAAGGAGGCAGAAGGGAAGGAAGAAAGTGTTCACTGTGAAGGTGGAGAGGGGAGGGAGCAGAGAAATAGTCTAGACTCCCAGAACTGAAAGGGTAATCTTAAGAGTCCATTCAGTTCAACCTCCTGATTTTACATATGGGGAAAATGAGGTCCCCAAGAAGAGAAGTGATCTGTCCAGGATCACACAAATCAGGGACCAACTGAGATGAGTCAGATCAAAGTTTCTGGGGCTCTTTTTATCACACTAGGAGAGAGGTGGAAGGAAAAGGGAACAGTATATAGGAAGGAGAAGTGAGAAGGATGGAGGGAGATGGGGGACAGGAGGAAAAAGTAAAAGAGGAAGAAGGGAGAATAGGAGGAGAGAAGCAAGGGTAAGGTGAGGAAAAGGAAAAGAGGAGAATGGAGGAGGAAGGAAAAGAGATAAGGGAATGAAGGATGGGAAGGATAGAGGCTAAGTGGGGAGAGGAAGGTGAAGTACGGAGGAAAGAAAGGCATCAGCAGAATTACCTGATTAAGTGATAGCTGAGAGAGGCCCGAGCGCAGCAGAAGAGAAGAGAGGAGGGACAGGCACAATGGTCAGAGAAGTCAGGGGCCTCTGAGGGACTTCCTCCCCCAACTCCACCCAATGGCTCTTTGCTCTCTCCCTGGCCAGCTTCCATCTCCCCAGTGCCTCCTGAACCTCCCTGGGGCACAGGCCATAGGGAGGTGCAGCCCTGTGCTTCCTGTCCAGTGTGGGAGAAAAGATGGTCTTTTCATGGGGCAGACAAGGCATCTCCCCCGACACCTTCCGAGACAGGGATGTGACGGGATGAAAAGAATCCTCGGCAGAGGACCAGGAGAGTGGGGGGGCCTGAGAATGACTCACTGTGGCACCTCAGTCAGGTTACTGTCCCACTCGACAAAAGTACTAATCCCTGTGTGGTCAACTCCACACGGGTGCTATGAGGAGGCACATGGGATAATGGATGGGGAAAGCAGCCCCTCCAATCCTCTGGTCAAGGGCAACCTTGATGATATAACAACGTTAATAATGATGATGATAATAATACTGATAACCATAATAATAACACCACCACTAATGATGACCATAACAACGAGAATAATAATAATAATGTTAGTTAACATTTATAGAGTGCCTACTGTGTGCCAGGCACTGTGCTGAGCACTTTACAAATTATGATCTCATTTGATCGTCACAACAACCTCTGGAGGTAAGTGCTATTATTATCCTAATTTTACAGACGAGGAAACTAAGGCAGACAGAGGTGAAGGGACTTGCCCAAGTTTCTGCAAATGATTCTCTGCAGCTGAATGCACATTCCCAGTCACACAACTGATTGAAAAATAGGGAATTTAGGACCCTCCTTGGAAATAAAAATGCCAGATGGCACCTTAAAGGCGGGCTTTGCTTCAACAAGGAGTCTCTCAGGGATATGTTCAAGATACATAATTGTTCCTTGAAAAATTTAACTGCAGAGATAACTCTGTACCCCCAGTGGAATGTAAGTTTCTCGAGGGCAAAGATGGTCCGACTCATCTAGTATAGAGCCTGGCACATAGCAGGTGCTTAACAGACAAGATAAAACGCTATGAGAACAGAAAAGGGCCTTGTAAATAGTAAAAGGCTTCACAAATGGTTAGTTATAAATCATAAATTGCCTTAAAATTATAAAAGACATTATAAATGTTAAGCCCCTAAAAGGGATTATAAAGTTACAATAATAATAATGATAGCTGATATTTCTATGGCAGTTTAAGGTTTGCAAAAACACTTCACCTATTAATTTCATTTGAGCCTCACAACAATCTTGTGCAGTGTGTACTTTGGGTGTTATCATTCCCGATCCACTGGTGTTGGGGGCAGGATGCCAATCCGGGTTTTCCTTCCTCCCAAGACCACTATAAGATACTCCCTTCTCAAGAGCTCCCTATGGATTACAAAGAGCTTTTAAAATACAAGGAACTTTAAAAATTGAGGCACAGGCAAAAATGTGATTATTCTCTACAAATAAAGTGCCTGGACTCTTTTAAATGTTCCATCATACTCGCCCCTGGGAAGAAGGCTGAACAAGGCCCCACAGGCCAGTTTTGCAGAAGAGGGAAATTGATGCTCAGAGGTGGAAAGTGACTTGTTTAAGGTCACACGGTAAGGGGGTAAGGGTAACAGAACTAGGATTTTCCTTTTTTTTTTTTCTTTAAAAAATTTTTTTTTTCTAGTTACATGTAAGAACAACTTAGGATTTGAAACCTAGTCTCCTGAGGCTCGGTCCAGGGCTCTCATTTTAGCCCACCAACCTTGCCAGACCTGAGGCACAACTGAGGCCAATCCTTTTAACTTCAGGTTTGTTTTCCTTTACACTGAGCTTGACTTTGGGGCTTCAGCCTCTGGCCAAAGGGGACAAGGAGAAAACTCTTGGGCTCAAAGGATTTAGAACTGGAATCAACCGTAGAGAATTATCTAGACCAGAGGTAGCAAATGCCTAATGCTTATTCAACTAGATTAAAATGTAATTGGGGAAAGGTTAAACAAGATAAATAAAAATACAACACAACATAATGTTAATCTGTGGTTTTCTAAATTAATACAGACGTGTTTCTATTTGAGTTTGACACCTCTGATCGGGACCAATCTCCTCATTTTAAAAAGGAGAAACCAAAGCTTAGACAAAAGAAATGACCAGTCCAGGGTCCCTTAAGTAACCTCAATGGGCAAAAATGGTACAGCTGAAAGGACCTCGAGATCAGGCCCCTGGACCACAAGGAGCTTGTAGCAGTACGCTGAGGGTAAGGTTAATCCTGGCCTGGTAGGAACTGGGGCCTGGGGTCCGGCTGTAGGAGGCAGCTGACTTTACTCACTTCTGAAGTACGAAAATGCCCACGATGAGTGTGAAGGAGATCAAGTCAGCTGTGATCCAGATGAGACAGTACTCGTCCGGGGCCTGGAAAACAATTGGATACCCAAAGGACTCAGTGGGCAGAAGAAGCCCCTCCAGAAGGAGCAGGAACAGCTCACAGTCCTTCCTTAGAGAGGAAGATGAGGTGACTGGATTAGAAGGCCTCTGAGCCCCCTTCAAGCTCTAACTATACGATCCTATGGTAATATACAGGTATAATAACTTCCCTGATGTCTTTTGGTCACATAAATGGGGCTTGGGCTCCCAAAGGTCCTATCTAGTTAGAAAGCCTTTAAGCCCAGGGATGGACTCTGCATTTGACCTCCTAGCTAAGGTCCAAGAAGCTCATTTCTGCGATCATCAAATTTTTGGCCACAGCAACTCACTGAAACGATAGACTGAACTACAGAAGGGAGGGGAGTTGGACTGGTGACCCAACCCACGCTGATGAAATTACTAATCATTTTAACTATGGAAAAATGGGAGGGTGTCTGTATCTGTGGGATGGAGTATCTTCAGGTAGCAGGTGAAAATCAAGCAATGGTGCAATATTATTACCCTATAAGAAGGGGTGAACATGAAGACTTCAGAGAAGCCTAGGAAGACTTACATGAACTGATGCAGAATGAAGTAAGCAGGACCAGAAAGAACAGGCACAACTACAACAATGTAAATGGAAACAACAAAACTACAATTTTCACAACCAAATTTGGCCCTGGAGAAGAAACAAAAAAATCGAACTCTATTCCTTGTTTGCAGAGTTGGGGGGATGACGGATGTACGATACGGCATCCACTGTCAGACTTGGATGATGCATGGTTTGGTTTTGCTGAACTGCCTTTTCTTCCTCCTCTTTCTTTCTACGTTAGTGTGTGGAGTATATATCTGGGATGTCAGTGTTTGTGGAGTTCATGTGTTAGTCTGGAGTTGTGTATCTTGGTACTACATATGCACCTATGAGGACAGCTATGCATCTAGAATGTTCTCCCTACCAACTGCTGATTCTCAGAAACTCAGGCCTCCTTTAACACTTGGCTCAAGGGCCACCTGCCTCGAGCAGGTCTTTCCTGGATCCCCCCCACCCCCAACCTCCCAGCTGTGAGGGACATTTTCTACAAGATACCTGTCATCTACCATGTATTTCTTGTATGTTACCCACTAGAATGAAAATTCCCTGAAGGCAGAGGCTGTTTTTGCCTTTAAAAAAAAATTCCCCTAGTGTTCAATACTTTGTCTGACATGTAGTAAGCATTTAATAAATGCTTATGAATTGATTGTCTGGGATGTGCTACTTTACCCTCACAGGTGGTCAATAAATGTCTGTAAACATAAGTGGACAGAAGTGGGAAGTATGTGCATTTTCTCTCCCCTTCTGTATGTGTGTGCTCCCCTCTATTACTCCCTTTCTCTTTATGTTCACTTGTCTCTTTCTAACTTTTTCCTTGATCTGTCCACTTTTCTCACTGTTCACTCCTTTCTTCCTACCTTTCACCTACCTCCCAGGATTGTTGTGAGGATCAAATGGGATAATAATTGTAAAGTGCTTAGCACAGTGCCTGGCACACAGTAAGCACAATATAAATGTTATTGTTATTCCTTTCCCATCTTACAATTTATTTAGATATCATTTGGAACAGAAGTACTATATTAGAAATCTTTTTCATTAATGATGAAAAACATTTTATGTTCTTGGTCATTAACTTTTAATTAATATTAATTAGTAGTGTGTTTAACCTTTTATTTCAGAAATACTGCATCTTTTTTTGTGATCACTGAATAACATTTTATGTTGAAGGTCATTAATTTTTAAACTGGTGAGTTTAATCTTTTATTTCTTTCCCTTAAGAGAAGAAAAAAAAATCTGAAAAAACCACACAAATTTGCCTTTTGTTTTTGTGTGGCCCAGTGAAGACTTGACAAGAACCCTCAATTCAAGTCAATATATATCCTGATTTTTGGGGATTTCAAATGGAAGGTGGGTACAAGGAAAATGAAGAGAAGATGTAGGAAAATATGGTTTGGGTTTAAGACATGAAAGAGGCCAAAGGTATGTAGACCACCCAGAAATATGTGTTCTTTAAGAGTTGGAAGGCATTGGACACTGTGGGCACTGAACAAAAGGGCCAAAAAAAAAAAGGAAAAGAAAAGAAAAAGAAAAAAAAAAGAAACTAGTTATATCCAGATAGACAAAAAATGTCTGACTATTGATGTGGGAGTCATATCAACAAAGGTTAAAATCAATATCCAATTTGAAGGCACATTGATGAAAATAAAAGACACACAGAACTGCAACAGCTTAGACCTGACTGATCCTGCAGCCACTGATGCTGGAAAATGAGAAATTAAGAGACAAGGATATTGACCCTGATTATGATCATCTCACACAAGAGTTGAACCAGCATAAAGCAGTCATTACAGCAAAGAGGTCAAATGGGCCCTGAAACCACCTTATCGAGACAATGATAAACCATGTTGCTAAGTGAAGAGGGATGGCAGCCAGGGCAATACCAGTTGAGAGTACTAACTCATTTGTAAAACTACTAGAGGGGAGATGGGTGGATGATTGTAAGCCTCAAAAATAAACTGCCTTTGAGTTCTAAATCTGTGATCTTATGTGGGACCTTAGATAATTTTTTCTCTCTGGGGCTCAGTTTCATTACCTGTTAAATGGGAGGGTTGGATTAGATGCCTCTAATGTCCCTGCTGGTTCTATATTTTTGACCCTCTGGTTCTTTTCTTTTCTTATTTATTTATTTTTAGGCAATTGGGGTTAAGTGACTTGCCCAGGGTCACACAGCTAGTAAGTGTCAAATATTTGGTCCAAGGCAGGATTTGAACTCAGGTCCTCCTGACTTCAGGGCTGGTGCTCTATCCACTGCGCAACCTAGCTGCCCCTTCTGGTTCTTTTATTGAGAAGCAGCTCAGTATAGTGGAAAGAATATTGGACTTGGGGAGTCAGGAGACCTGGTTTTTGTATTCTGGCTCTGGAACCTACCAGCTGTGAGATCCTGGATAAGTTTCCTCATCTGAATATGAGGATAACAGACGTACCACTTCCCTCGCGGAGTTGTGAACACAGTTCTTTATAAACCTTAAGGCCCCAGAGAAATTAGAATCATGATAATAAAGAGAAATAAAGACGGGGCCTCAGAAACAGGCCAGACTTGGCATACAAGCTCCATAGATCACCTGACCTCTCCCTCACTTCCCTTCTGTATAAAATAGCATTTATTTCTTATCTAATTTGTCACTTTTGTTTAATCCACTGACATTTAAAGTTACAAAAATTAGATTTGTGTTTTCTTCTGGGTGTCTCTAGTGTTGTTCCTCTAAATTGGATCTGAAGTCCAATTTCTGACATATGATACTTATATAACTCTGTACAAGTCTCTCAATTTCCCAGTGCCCCCCCCCCAAACACCTTAAGACTCTATGTTATTGGGTTTGCACTGACACAGGGACTACACAGATAAAATCACAGATCTAGGGGAAATTTTTTTTTTACACCCACAGGGCAAATAGAGAGAGAAAGGGGAACTGGGTCCCTTCTCTTAGTCCCAGTCTCCTATATGTGTTGGCTTATTAGAATGTAAGCCCCTTGAGGGACAGCCTTTGATTTTTCGTTTTGCTTAGTTCAATAAGCATCTAATAAATGTCTTTTAATTATTTTCTCTGTCACCTGTGCTGGGGTCTGCCAGGCTTACCATGATCCAGACGGGGGAAGGCACCTTGGACAGGGTTTGGGGGTTGTCAGACGTGACGGACTGGACGCCTGAGCACCACAGGAGAGAGAAGAGCCAGGCCTCGTTGACCGTGTAGAGGTTCACGCTCAGGTTCCACGCAGAGCAGTCCCTAATGAGGGGAGCAGGGAAGAGTGAAAAAGAACACGTGAGTGCCTCTGAGGTCTGACCTCCCAGAACCAACTGGAAAACCACAGTCATGGGCGCTTCAGGTCTTTTAGCCTAACTTCCTCATTTCACAGAAAGGAGGAGGGGGTATGTGTGAGTTAGGGGCAGAGCTGGGACTCAAGTTTAATTCCTAACTCATCACCCTGTATTTCTTTCTATTATGTCATGGTCTAGGGATGCCCTTTCTCCCTAACTAAACTGTAAGCTTCCTGAGGACAGGGATACAATAATAAAGTGATGAGCTTCCCCACTCAGTCTGAGGACTTCCTGGAGCCAGTGGGAGGGGGAAAACACTGAAAGGAAGTTGTGGCTGTACCTGATATCTGGCTGGAGACCTGAGTGTAGCGTAAGTTCAGTTTCTGAATGTGCTCACGTCGCAGACTGGCAACTGTCTCTTTGATGTCTGAGGTCTGCTGGAAGCCTGGGGCTACTTTCTCTACCAATGGCCTTTGTCTGCTGGGCAGCCACATAACCTGGGATGGAGTAGGGTGGGGATAGGGGTAGGGGAAGAAAGGACCTAAAGTCAAGGCTTAGTCTGGGATTGGGATGAGGGTTTAAACTAATTTTTCAGTCAGGTCTTTCTCAATCTCCATCTTAACACAAGGAGACAAAGTGAGAGTCCAGCAGCTCAGGCCACAAGAGAAACCAGGGTGGGGTCTCTACTTGGAATCTCTTCCCTCCCATCTCCTGAGATCCAGGAGGAAGGGCACCTGGAAAATGGATGGATAGCTCTAATACGAGACAGAACGTGGTTAGTGAATGGTAGAGGTCAAACAGAGAGAAACCCATGAGATTCAAAGATGGAGGGAGCATTTATATTCAGAATTCAGGGAAGGCTTCCTGATACCTGAGCTGGGACCTGAAGGAAGAGGTTTTCAGTGGGTAAGGAGACCACTCCAAACATGGAGAAGAGCATGAGCCACAACAGAAGTAGTAGAGGGTTTGTATTTTCTTTCCTTGCCAGATCAAGAGTTAGCTAAGGCAAGGGCAGAACTCCAAATGGTCTATGAATTCATGGGGCAAGCTTATTGAGGATGTAGCCATGCACTTGAAGCAGCCCACCTGGCTTCCCTAGGGGCCAGGGACCTGCCCATAGACCATGGAGGGCTTACCAGGTGTTGTGGGTGGCCAGAGCGGAGGATAGCATCCAGAGTGATATTGAAGAAGGTGCCTCTGTAGGGGTGGTCATGGGGCAGATCCCAAAGGTTGAGCAGCAGGGTCATGTTCCCTTTGGCCACTTCCAAGAGGTCAGTCAATTTGCAGATGGACTGGTTCTGTGCTTCCCTGTAGTCGGAGGCTGACAGTGAGTGCACAGTCCAGAAGGGGTCGGTCTGTATGCACAGAAGGTCTACATGTCAGTCATGTCACATATCAGACTTGACACACAAGCTCCATGGATCACGCGACCTCTCTGTCACACCCCTTCTGAATGAATAAGCATTGACTTTTTAATTTAATTTGTCACTCTTGTTGAATCTGTTCACATTTAAGGTGATGAAAATTAGATTTATGTTTTCTTCCATTTGTGTATCTAGTATTTTTCCCTCTAAATTAGGATTTTTTTGGTTCCCCTTCCTCTTTTAAGTCAGGATTTTGTTCCTATGATTAGTTTTGCTTAACACAAACCCATTATTCTTGGCTCTCTTCCCCTCTCCCTCTAATCCCTCCTCCATGTTTACCAGCCCTTTAGTTTTGAAGTTTTGTTTAGCTTATTTCTTTCTGGAAAACAACAACAGCATCATAGTATTAAGCACTCACTATGTGTCAGGCACAGTCAGTCAATAAACATTTAGTGCTAAGCTTCTGGTCAAAGCTCAGAGTAAAGGCTTAGCCTGGGGTTAAAAACGCCTCCAGTTTGACTTACTCTGCTACGGCATGTTTTTTTATGCCTAGAACACCCTCCTTTCCATGTCTGTCTCCCCTATTCCTTTGAGACCCAAATCAGATCCCACCCCTTCCATTAACTAAACCCTAACTCTTCTAAATATTCCATTAATTTCCTTCTACTCCTGAAGACCTGCAGGGACCCCAGACAGGTTTATCCACGATCTCATTTAATGATACTGAATTTACTAAGTGCCTACTACATGCAGAGGACCCTGTGTTCCATGCTATGCAGATGCAAATGTCAAATGACACAGCAGCTCTGTCCTCAAAGAGCTTATAGACTAATAACAGAGAAGGATATAATATGTGCACATGGAAATAATACAAAGTAGAATGTGTTGGGGCAATGGCAGGATCTGGACAAAATGCTCTGGGGAAATTTAGGTAGAAGGAAAATATATGTTACTGGGGGGTGGGAGGGTTAGAGTTAGGGACAGTGAGGGAGGATCAGGGAAGGCTTCATGGAAGACGTGGCACCTGCCCACATTCTGCCTCCTCAGAGTCACTGGTGTCTGTACTCTCCTGTGCCAGACTGGGAGTTCCCTGATGGCAATGACGTACCCTATCACTTTTGTAGCCCCGGTCTGACATGCCACTCAAGATTAGAATTCAGATCTTCCCAACTCCGAGTCTATCTCCTACACCACCTAGCTTATTCTTTTCCTTAATGCAGCCTGGGTCCAAACAATTAGTTCCCTCGTGACAAGCCTCTCCACACTTAGCCAGACCAGGCCTTGGCTGACAGACCCAAAAGTCAGGTAAAATGGTGGTGGGGTCATCGCTGCCAGACGTTCAGTACTAAGCTCCTAGTATTCAAGTCATTTCAATGCCATCAGCCTCAATTTCCTCGTGTATTAAAAAAAAAAACAGCACCCTCATCCCAGGGTGCTTGTGAAGGTAAAATAACATTTGGAAAGCACTTTGCAGACCTTAAAGCACCATAGAAATGTTAGCTATCATCCCATATCATGACAGGGAATCCGAGAAGGACTTCAGTGTAGGCATGATTATGGGTTTGGACTAGAACTACGATTTCACTGGTACAGGGAGGTCTCAGTAAGGGAATAATACTAATACTAATAAGTAATAATGCTAATAAACATCATACATAGTTCTTAAAGATTTCACAGAGCTGTACATACATTATCTCATTTGACTTGATCCTCACAACAACTCTGGGAGGTAAGGACTATTATTATTCCCATTTTACATATGAAGAAACTGAGGCTGAGCAAAGTTAAGTGACTTGACTAGGGTCACACAGCAACTAAGCAGCTGAGGCTAGATTTGACTCAGAATCTGCAGGCCCATCGCTCTGACCATTGTGCCATCTATCCACCTACTAGGCGGAGGGAGGAAAGTCCTCTCCAAATGCAGCTCAACATCTATTCTGCTAGGCATAGTCTCAGAGAGGTGCCTGAGTGTGCAGAAAGGTTTGGTGACTTGTCCAGGAAAAAACTTGTCCAGAGTCAAGAGATGTCCAAGGAAAGACTTGAACTCAGGTCTTCCTGACTCGAAGCCCAGGGTGCTCTATCCACTGTGCCACCCATCTGCCAGCATAGGCCTGGGGCCTGGTAATGAACAACGCTGTGGGTCCTGGGCATTTTGCTAACACGGGGAGACGTCATTCAATGATGAAGTCTCACAGCACCTACGTCACAGGCTGCAGTTAGGATTACATGAGTTTACACATGGAAAGCACTCTGCAAACCTTACTGTGTAAACACTTGTCACTACTATTGTTGTTGCTCTGTTGTTGTTTAAAAAGCACAGAGGAGCTACCATTTTCACCGCTGGAGGGAAGACAACAGCTAATGGCCCAGGGCTATTTTAAAATAAATCCATGCGTTTTATGGGATAATATACATAAAATTTTTCGCCACCTGTTGAGTACCCAACACCGATGTTTGAGAGCAAATGCTCAAAGGCAGGGGCAGCCCCATACGACAAGTGATTTGGACTCACCTTTAGCAGCAGCGCCCCTCCCTCCTAGCACCGCTCCTCCTGCCTTCCTCTAGCCATGACCATACTTGCTCCTGCCTTGACACTCGCACCTCCTCAGTCCCCGTGGTCCTTAGGATCCTTCCCTCTGATTGGCTGGCTTCTCCTAGAGCCTCCATTTAAGGATGGTGCCCAGGCCAGCCATCTCTTCATTTTCCCACCTGGCTCCTCTCCTCTGGACTTACTCCGCCCCCTCCCCCCACCTTGGCTCCTTGGCATGCGTGCACGCACACACACACACACACACACACACACACACACACACACCCCTCTTTGCCCCTTTTCAGCATTATCTTCCTCCATTGGATGGTAAGCTCTTTGAGGGCAGTAACTATCTTTCTCTTTATTCCTGGTGTTTAGCATAGTGCCTGGTACGTAGTAGTAAATACTTAATAAACATTTATTGCCTGACTGCTTTTTCCAGGGTCCTCTCTTCTTCACCCCTATCTCTCAGGCTGGTCCCACTGGAAGTACAAACACACCTTGAGGAACCATTCTCCCGCGTTGAGCTGCTTTAGGTCAGTCCAGTTGGACATGGAGGCAGGGCGTCGGGCCAGCTCTGGGAGGGCTTCATCCACATTGGTTGTGCGGCGAAGTGTAGTGTCATGCATGAGGAATGGAATGCCATCCAGGCTGCAGGGAGAGGGGTAGGTCCTTTTCAGCACATTATCTCCGGCCTTGTCCCAGAGCTGGTGGAACCAGCATTTCAGGGAGCTCACTGTGCCCCACGGGGTACTCAAAGTGAGGGGCAAGTGTTGTCTGAGCTGTACAGATTCTACCTTATCCTAGGCCCTTAAAGATGGGTCATTCTTGATTACCTGTATAGATTGCATACTGTCCACTGCCAAGCTATTCTTACAGTAAAGATGGAGACATGTAGGCTGGTCAATGGTATAAAACTCAGATAAGAAAAGGGAGGGTATTAAATCATACATAACAATCTTTCTGGCAGCATAATGACTTAGAAAATCATATATCAATATCATCTATGTTTTACTGTATTTTTATTTAAGTATTTACCAATTATATCTTAATAATTTAATTTAATTTTAATTTAAAACTTTAATTACATTTTAAATCTGGTTTGGGCCTCAACCGGGGAGCGTTGCTGGCAGGCCATGTGCTTGACACCTCTGGGTTAGATGATATTCAGAACTAGTTGAATGGACAGCTCCAAAAAGTGGTCATTAAGGGTTTTAGGTTAACTTGAAAGGAGGCTCAGACATTATATTATTCAACATTTTAATCAATGAAGTGCTTATCAAATTTACGGATGCATAAAGCTAGGAGGAAGAGCTAACAAGTGGAATGAGTCAGTATCCAAAGCCATATCGAGAGGCTAGAAGGTTGGGTCAAATTGAATAAGATTAAATTTATTAGGGATCAACGTAAAAGTCTTACACTTGAGTTAAGAAATATCAGCTTTACAAGTATAAGGCACGATCGGTATAACTAGAAGGGAGGTGGTAGTCCTGTGGAACTCTGCCATGGTTAGGCCATAGCTGGGAAAGACTTGATTACATGATGTGATGTGATTAGTTCCAGGTGCCATATTTAGGAAGGGTACTGACAAATTAGACAGAAAATGTCTCGGGTTAGGGGCAGAATGACCAAGGGCCTTGAGTTTATGCTATGTAAGAAGGAGGCAAAGGAATTGGGGATGTTTAGAGAAGAGAGAAGAAGACTTTGGCATGGGGAGGTGTGTGTGTTTGTCTGTGTGGAGAGGGTGGTTGTTAATTTCAAGTATTTGAAGCCCTGTCACTGGAACAGGACCTAGATTTCTTGTTTAGCTCTAAAGGACAAAACTAGGAAGCAACTGCTATAAATTACAGAGAGCTGACTTTAGACTTGATGTAAAGGAAAACTTCCCAACAACTGGAACTATCCAAAGCTGGAATGCGCTGCCTTGGGATACAGGGGGCTCCCCTTCAAGGCCAGAGGTCCTTAAGCAAAGGCTGAATAACCACTTGCCAGAGAGGCTATAAAGGGGATTAACGACCTGGTATTAGTGAACCAGATGGCCACTGAGCTCCTTCCAGCTCGGAGACTCTGTGATTTTCTGCTTGTGGACTAATCTCTACCCATTTAAAATCATCTTTACCTACATTACTCACTACCGACTCTCAGTTATCTGATATACCTTAAATACTACCCACTCTTGAATATCCACTCAATTATCTGTGTACGTATCACTATATCTATACTCTTAGGCCCCCTCATGCAGTCCACCCTAGGGATTACTGGTGCCAATAATGCTAGGCTGCATTGCCCTGGTTCTACCAGCCTTCTTCTGTGCCCTTCTGCTCCCATTAACTTATGCTCAGAGAATGGAGGTCTGTCCCTCTAACCCTCATAGTGATTGAGGGTTTATCAATATGGGCTTCAGAACAAAGGGGGAAAGTGTGCCAGAGGAGTGAAGGATTGGGAATAATGAACAGAGGAAATTCTAAATTCTCTGATCCTATGATAAGGGCATTATCTGATGGGTTAGGTCTATTTGAGCCCAGCTCCTCCTGGGCTTAATCAGAATTGTTCTGTATATCCTGGACTTTGAATGGCACCTTAGCCAATGGGTTCATCCATCCAATTCTCTTCTCTATGCCTTGATAATTAGCTAAAGCCACTCCTCCACCTCACTGCTGTCCCATGTACTGCCTTTCCAAACCTTCTGTTCCCTGGCTGAACTATTCTCAGATCCAAACATTCATAGACTCCCAGTACCCAGAGATGGAAGGGACCTTACAATAATGAACACTACCACAGAAAACAGAATGGCATCAACAAAAGTGATACCCTTAGAACAGAGAATGTCAGAGCTGGGAGGAATCTGTGTGAGTGTATGTTTGTATGTGTGTGAACATACATGTAGGGGTGTGTGTGTGTGTATGATGTTTGGGTGTGGTGGATGAACCAAATAATCCCAATTTAGCTTTAGAACCATGGGCAAGTCACTCTTTCTTTGTGGACCTCAGCAAACTTCACTGATGAAATGAGAGAGTTGGGGTAGTTTATCTTAAAAGTCCCTTCTAGCTCTAGCATCTTAAAATTCTAACTCAGTGCTGCCTCCCAAAAAATATGCAATTCTAAGAGTCTGTGATTTTGTGATTCTAGGATTTGACTCAATCTGAAAATCAGGTCACTCTAGGGAAGAGATGGAAAACCAATCATTGGCTCAACTGACCTGATGGTCACATCAACTTGGACCCCATAGAGCTTCTGCTCCCTGGCCTTCTGGAAGGACATCAATGTATGTTCTGGAGCCAGCTGGGAAGGAAGACACAAGAAGAGAATCAGAAGGCCAGCCCCGACTTCTAGGTCTCAAGGACAGCCCTTGTAATTCTTCTAGAACACCCTCTCTGTAATTGCCTTATCTATCCCAGAACCCCAAGAAATCAGAGTTAGTAAATACCCAATTAAGATCAACAAACACCTGCTATGTGTAATCCTTGTCCTTTCGCAATGCTAGATGTGGTGAACACAAGAATGAAGCCCAAAATGGCCTCTGCCCCCAAGAAGCTTATATTCTATTGAGGGATACCACAAATACATTTTTTTTAAAGGGGTAACCTGAAGAGTGAGAGAATACTAACAATTCCATGGAGGAGGCAGCACCTCTCGAGCAGAGCTCTGAAGGAAGAAAAAAAATGTAGAGGTGGACAAAAGGTGGTGCATGTAGGCATGAGGGATGGTTTATATCAATGCATGGAGGAGGATATGAAATGTCAATTGTAGAGCAAGACGTCCACTGTAGCTAGAACGCAGAATATGTGGAACGAGGCTGGGAAAGTATGTTGGAGCTAGGCCATGGAGGGACTTCAATGCCAGGCTGAGGAGTTTGTACTTGAGAGGCAGTAAAGACATCTAAAACTGTGAAGAACATTCTGGGAACCTGGGGTAAAAGAGGCATTCTGGTTGGGTCACTTTACTGGTTATATGACCTTGTTCAAAGCATTTCCTCTCTTTGGGCCTCAGTTTCCTCTTCTGCAAGAAAAGGTGGTTGAACTAGATGTCCCCTAAAGGTCATTCCAATGGTGACACTGTCAGTTTGGAAGACCCAATACTTAACTCTTTCTCTTGATGCCATTCGGATCTTGCTGTGATTTGGAACATAGCACTACGCTGATCTTGGTCTTCACCCTGCCCCGATCCAATTTAGCCAAACTTTGGCCCAAAGTTTGAGGGAATCAGAGGCAGTGGGATTCTTGAAAGAAAAATGGAGACAGACACAGGATGGGAAAAATGGGGCATCTGAACGGTAGGGAGAAGAGTGGCATCCTATCCCCTGGAGCTCTGAGAGTGCCCTCTGATGGTATGAAAGTGTCACCTCAACCCCTTATTTCCTACCTGAGCTGGGAGAAACTGAGTCTCTTGAGGTCGACAGGGAAAGTATTATTGTCCTTGTTTTACAGATGAAGAAACTAAATCACGGAGGCCAGGTTATTTATACATACTGTTAACCTGATGACTACACTGTCTAAACTATGGTTGTGAGGATTAATACAAGAAGCTCACAGGGAGATACAGATATATTATAGAATGTTCTATTTGGAAGGGACTTTAAAACACAGATTATCAGAGCTGGGAGGGACCTTAGAACCTAGACTGTCAGAACTGGAGGGATCTTAGAACCTAGAATGCTAAAGCTGGAGAGACCTTAGAACACAGAATGTCAGAGCTGGAGTGTTTAAGCTACAAGGGAATCTTAGAACTGAAAACACAGAGTTGGAAGTGGTCATAGTACTTCCCCCCCCTCCTTGTTATTTATTATGAGTTTTATTACAAGATAAGGTGTTTGAGACAGATGGTCATTATGGACAGCTGTTCCAATAACAATGCCATAGGGCTGGGAGGCTGGATACCTGGGTCCTTCTCCTGATGCCATTTTGATTCTAACGTGTGACCTGGAATGCATTACTCCCCTGCTTTTGGTCTCCCCTCCTGGTCCATTTGGCCAAACCCTGGCCTAAGGTGGAAGCAGATTAGAGGCAGTTTCTTTGAGAAGGGAAAGGATATTTTTGGAAATGAATAGTGGAGGACTTCTAACCTATACTAAACAGTCTTTCTCTTTGTAATTTTTCAGTACTTCAAGGACATGTGACTTTATTGATGTGAGCCTTACACCATGGCTGGTCATAATAGATAGTTTCATGAATTTATGTGACAAAAAGTTCATCCCTTGGTGGCCAACTCTATGGAGGTAAACTTTTAGATACAGTCTTTCAGAGTTGGACATAAGAGCTCACTTAAGCCTTAAAATAATCTTGTGAAGAAGACAAGACAGGGATTATTAATTCCATTTTACAGATGAGAAAATTATTATCTCAGAGAAATAAAGGGACTGGTTCAAGGTCACAATGCCAGTCAGTGGCCAAGCCAGGCCTCTTAACCCCCCAGTCTAAGGATTCCCCTTCCCATTACCCCATGTTTTCTTCTCATCCTTGAATCTATGTCTGTTCTGATTTTTTCCCCCCACAATGGTTTCCTATGTTGGAGTCAGACTGGAAACTCCTCAGAGGCAGGCCCCTACACTGTTTCCTCCTTTCTTCTTTTAGGAATAAGGAAGCCACTGTCCCTCCCCCCCCCGTCTCATGCCCTGGTCAGTCAAGTTCACATCTGGACTACTGCATTCATTTCTGGCCATTAATAATTCACTGGATGGTGAAGGGCCTTGACCTTGCCATACCATGATCAGTAGAAGGAACTGAGGACTTTTAGCTGAAAGGAGGGGATGGGATAGCTGCCTTCAAGTATTGGGAGAGCTGTAGGAGAATCAGACTTGTTTGGTTTGGCCCAAGAGGGCATAACTAGAAACAACGGGTGGAAGCTGCCAAAGGACCAATGTAGGACAAGTCTCCTAACAATCAGAGCTGTCCATGATTGGGGGATGGGCTGCCCACAGAGGTCAATGCCTCCCCCACACTGGACGACTTTGCACAAAGGCTGCACAACTGACCACAGGCAGAATATGTTGTAGAGGAGGTTATTTTTTCCAGCATGGGATGGACTGGATCCCCTCCCTCTGAGGCCTTTTCCAATCCTGAGATTCTGTCACTGTCCAGCACGCACTGGGCTGGGCACACGGGGGCATGTTTTCAGTATGGGATGAGGTGGGACAGTAAATGCCCGATGAATAAAGTTCATCATAAATAGGAAGGGCTTAGGAGGCACCGCTGGCCTAGGAGCCAGCAGCACAAAAGAAAACTTCTCTGAGAAGCAACATCATGATTGTGCCAGAACAGGACCTGCAGCTCTGACACCTGAAGAAGGGGAAAGGGAAGGACAGGTCCAAGTCCCATCTCTGCCAGTTCCAGGATGACCTTGGGGAAGTCACTTCTAGCTCTATACCAGCATGATCCTAAGGTGGTATGGCCTTCAGAGGTTCTAGACCTTCTTTGTGGCACGGACCCCTTGGGCAGTCTGGGGAAGCCATTGGGACCCTTTTCAGAATCATGGCTACTAAGGCAGAAAAGACATGGGAATGGGGAAGGGAAAGTGGAGAATAAGCACTTACATAGCACCTAACATGTGCTAAGTGCTTTAAAACAAACAAATAAATATTATCTCCTTCGATCCTCACAACAGCCCTGGGACGTAGGTGATGGTGACTTGTCCAGGGTTACATAGCTAATAAGTGAACGAGGCTGAATTTGAACTCAGGTCTTCCTGACTCCAGGTCCAGTGCTCTACCCACTGTGCCACCTAGCCGCCTCTACAATACAAAGGAAACTGAGTGATCAGAAAACCCAATACAGAAAACCCAATTCAGAGGCCCTCTTGATATCTAATCATGAACTCCTTGTTGGGGCAGGACCCACAATTAAGAAATCCTGTCTTAGAGGAAAGAAAAGGAGGCCACAAGGGAGCGAGGTCAGTCCCACCATCTTCTGCTGGCGCTGGGCCCCATCTGCTGTAGAGCACTGAGGTCCTTTCCAGGCACCACACTGCAGAAGGGACACTGACAAAATTGAGGGCATATAGACAGCAGTTCCTAGGACAGTGAGCCCAGAGCGCACAAGGGTGGGTGGAGGAGGTGGGGATATTTCAGCCTGCAGAAGAGTCAGGATGACTTTGGCCTGCTCCATGCAGGAGGAATCCAACTTGGTTTGTGCAGAACTAGTAGCAAGGGCTTATGGCTTCAGAGGCAAGTTTTAGTTTGACATAAGGAAAAACTCTTACAGCCAGAGCTGTCCCCAGGTAGAAGGGGCTGCCTCGGGAGGAAGAGAGGGAGGGAGGAAAGGGAACTTCCCTTTACTTTCCCCTCCCTCTCATTAAAAAGAGGCTGGATGATGGAAGGTCAGGGACTGTACATAGAAAGGAATCTTCTTCTGGACTCGCTTTACTCAGACACAATGATTCTGTGGAAGTGGCCCTAGGGATCATCTCTAGTCCTTAACTTTACACCGAGGGAGGTAAAGGGACTTGCCCCAGGTCATCAGAAGGTAGTAAGCATCAGAAGTTTAGGGTCATAGAGCTGGAAAGGACCTCAGAGAAGGATGATGTCTAGCACTGTCATTTTAGAGAGAAGGAAACAGAAGGGTCAAGTTATGTGTTCAGCATCAAATAGCTATGAAGTGTTTGAGGCAAGATTTGAACCCAGGTAGGTCTTCTTGACTTCAAGGCTAATACTCTGTTCACTACACTATGCTTGAACCCAGGTCCTGACTCGAGAGCCAAGGCCCCTCCTGCTATCCTGAGGCTAGCAAAAGAATTTTCTCCTATGTCACACTGGAAGGAACGAGAAGAGTCAGGATTTGAACCCGGTTCCTCTAACTAAATGGTGTCTCTAGGGCTACTTCTAGCTCTAATTTAATTCTGCGTGTTTAGGATTCTTCTTAATGCCAGTGAAAGCTCAAACTACCACAAGGGGCAGCATGGAAACAAAGACGGCTGGACCAAATGACTATTCCCTGGCCTGGTCCATCCCATGATGGGGCTCCCACATGTTTCCCTAAAGCCTGCCAAAGGAGAGTTCCAGGGCTGGAATAATTTTGTTTCTCCTGGCCACTCACTCTCTGAAGTCAGCAAAGGGAGAGACAGCACGCACTCACCATGGGCGCTCCTCGGTGGCCAATGATGGCAGGCTTAGGGCCCAGGTCTTTCTTCTCCATGATGCAGGGGGAGGAGATGGTGAGGGGGATCAGGTAGAGCACAAACACCACTGCGAAGTAGGCAGTGAAGATGACCATCTGTGAGGCTGAAGGTACAGAAGAGAGACTCCATGAAGCCCTCCTAGAATGAGAGAGAGCCCAGCACACACAGCCTTGTCCCCACTCTAGGCAATGACGCAGCTGCTCCCCAACCCTGATCCCCACCCTGAATTCTGGAAGAGGAACCACCAGGCTCGCTACTCCCTGCTCTTGCATGAAGTCCTCATCCAACTATCTTTGTTTCCATTGCATTTGCTCATATGGACATCTGTCACAGCTGGACAATGAGCTCTCCCTTCAGGAGAGGGGCCCAGTGAGGGCAAGGACCACGGGAGGTAGTGAGCTATAGCAGGAAGATGCCAGACTCGGAGGACTGGGGCCTGAATTCTACCTCTGCTACTAAATACTTGTGTGACCATAGGCAAATCATTTAATCCTTCTGGTCATCAGTTTCCCCATCTGTAAAATGAGGGGGTTGGATTAGATGAACTCCAAGGCCCCTTTCATTCTCTGAATCTATGACCCTATATATACTTAGTTGATGGGCTGCCTGAGGTCAGGGGCTAAATCCAATCCTCTCCCTACTTGGGGTTTTTCTTGTCCCCAGTCTCTCCTACCAGGGCATACAGAGCACATGATAGGCCCTGGCTGCAGAGGACAGACTCTTTTCTTCTCCTCTTGGGACAGAGATGGTACTTAGGGGAGACACGGGGAGACAACAGATGCTATTTTTTTCTTTTCTTTGGTGGAAGGTTGTGGGACAAGAGGTTTGCAAACACACATTAGTGTGCTCATGGGCCCTGTCCACACAATGCGGGGATGTGATAAACAAGCATTGCTGAATTTCAAAAACAACCCAAGAGGTGGGTGTTTTAAATAGACTGCTGTGTATACTTGCAGCCCACAGAAACCTTGAAGAACAGGGAGTCTCTTCTTTGTAGATTACTAAGGGCGATCCTGAAAGCTACCTTCAATAATAACAACTACAGCAGCAGCAACAACAGTAATAGTAGTAATAATAATAATAATATAATGACAATTGCTAAGGTTTACAAAATGTTTTCCTCCAAACAATTCTGGGGGAAAAAATCCATGAAGCAAGTGTTCCACCGTTACCAGGGGCATGGTAAGGCTCGGGGAGATGAACCGCCAGAGCTGCTGAGCTTCATTACAGGTGTGATGCGGGAATGGAGCCCAGGTCTTCTGCTAGGGTCCTGGGCACTCGCCTCACCTCCAGCCAGGACCTAGATCCTGGGTCCAGGGAGGACCTACTATGTTCCTAGTTAGGCTCAAGACTTCCCCTTCCTGGGCCTGATTTCACAGGCCACAATCAGTGGGGCAGTTGAGAGGGCTCTTAGAAAGGAAAAGGAACATGGCGAAATGCATCCAAGGTTGGATTTGGAATCGGGAAAGCCCAGGTCCTGCCTCTGATGCATGGCGGCTATGTGACCCTGGGCAATTCACTGAAACTCTCAAAGTCTTAGAGAGTTGCCTGGGACACAAAGTTAACAAGAGGGTGGATGATCTGCATTAGTAGAGGGTTTTCCACTGGGACTTTCTCATGCTGATAAAAATCAGTGGTCTGATTCCCTCTTCCTATCTGGTCAGGGCCAAGACTAACAATAATAATAATAACAACAACAACAATAATAACAATAATAACAATAATAATAATAATAATACATTTTTTAAAAGGGACATTGGACTTAGATCTACGAAATCTGCTTCTGACACTCATTAAGCTAGGTGACCGCAGGCAAATCACGTCCCTGGTTTTCTCCTCTGTAAAATGGAGGGAGCAATAATGACTCTACCTACCTTACAGGGCTATTGTGAGGATCTAATGACCTATATATCTATATGTTGATCAATCAGTAAGCATTTATTAAGCACTTATTAAGTACAATTCCAAAGAAGGAAACAAAATCTCTCTCAAGGAGCTGATGTTCTAACTGGGGAGACAAGAAGGGTGTTTTATGTAGGTACTTGTACATAACAAGTCATGTTACACATGCAAATAGGTGCAACATCAGTATAAAGGGAATACAGATATACGCAAAGCATATATAAATACAAATATAATTTACATATTATATAATATATATTATATAAAATATACATATATAAATACAAAACAGTCAAGGGAGGGATGGCACCAGCATTTGGGGGCGGGGCATCAGGAAAGGCTTCAGAGGGAACACGGTGCTCTCTGTATATGAGTATAATGTGTATAAAGTACTTTGTAAACCTCACAGTGACATAGACAGGTAAGCTCTGATCATTTGTCCAGCCCAAACATCCGCTATGTGATGTGCTCAGTGCCACGTGGGGGCGGTCAGTGAAAAGTGGTAGCAGGGGATGGAGGTGGGGATGGGAGGGCCAGAGTTAGAACTGGGTCTCCTGAGGCCTACCTAGTCCAAGGTACTATACTCCCTGTTCCACCTCTCTCAACCTCTCTAAAGTAAGATGGTTTTTTGGGGGTTTTTTCTGGTGAGGCAATTGGGGTTAAGTGACTTGCCCAGAGTCACACAGCTAGTGAGTGTTACATCTGAGGCCAGATTTGAACTCAGGTCCTCCTGATTCTAAGGCCAGTGCTCTATCCACTGTTCCCCCTAGCTGCCCCAAGTAAGATGGTTTTTAAGGCCCCCTTTCAGCCCTGATAGCATAAGTATGAGTAGAAAGATAGCTCCAAATTAACCCCACCTCCTTGCCCACACACACCTTCCATCTCTTGAACCCAGGTAAGAGCCCTATAGGGATGGCTGTGAGTGAGGCCAAGCTGTCTTATACTCACAGACTTTTTCAGCTCTCGCAAACTGGCCTGCCACAATCCAGGAGAGAGTGGTTACAGCTATCAGGGCCCCGATGTGCAGAAATGGGGCTGTACCCTGCAGACGAGACACAACATTTCATGCATCAACCTTACAGTACACACAGATTTCCCCAATCCCAGGGACAGTGGAGGGAAAGGGGTTGTCAGTTCTTAGCCGGCCCCATCCTATGAGCTATAGAGGAAGGGCTCCCATAACTAGTCATATGCTTGCTCCTATCCTCTCTGGAAGGTTCATGCTAGCTTGGAAGAGCTATGGGATATACAGGCTGCTTTCTGGACATCCACGGGCAACTTGGAAGTGGTTTTCAGGAACTCTACCTTGAGCCACTTGGCCCTGGAGGGCAGAGGTAGGCCGAGTGGGGACTGGGGGAAGTTACAATGAGGCAGATTACAGTTCACAATAAAGAACATTCTAACAACAATACAGAACAGGTTGTCTTCACCGGCAGTAAAGCATGAAGCTATAAAGCAAGTTCAACGAGGTGACCTCAGAGTTTCCTTCCAGCTTTGAGATTCTGTGATTAAATGTAGTAGCAGGGGTCAGAAGACTTGATTTTCTAGTCCTTGCCTCCTGCTACACATTCTCTATGGGACATTGGGAAAAATGGTTTCCTTTTTGGTGCGTCAGATCCCTCCCCTGTAAACTCAGAGGGGGTGGACTGGACATGTTCTAAGGGCCCTTCCAGCCCTAAAAATCCAGACAATCTGCTATACTAAGCAGCACTCTGAACTTGACCCCACTTTGAGTGCACAATGGAAAGAATCATAGACTTAGGGTCAGGAGAACTGAGTTCGAGTTCAGGCTGATACTCCCTCGCTCAATGACCTTGGGCAAATTCGTTCTCTGCTATGTGCCCCAGTTCCCCTATCCGTAAAACAAGGCAGTTGAACTAGATGACCTTTAAAGGCCCATCTTTCCAGCTCTGACTTTCTGTGGCTTCATAATCTATGAACTTCCACCATAGCTAAAGTCAGTGGGTGCCTCCCCCAACACCCCCAGGCAGCTTTGGGCCAGATGGGAAACCTCTACTCACCTGCAATGATATTAGCAGCACAGCCCACTCATCATCCCAGAGCTGGGCTACAGAGGACACCGCCACGAGGGTTGCAATCAAGGCCATGGTCAGTGCTACCTGTAAGAAGAAGGGCCCGGGTCAAAGCAGGGTCCCCAGAGCAGCAGGATGGGGGAGCAACTCCCTTCCCCATGTTCCTGCTTGTGTATTGACGCTTGTCTATATATACACAATTGTGGGTAAGTGTACCTATCTGACTGTGTATGTGGGTGTAACCCTGTGCAATCATATGTGAGTGACTGAGTGACCTCATGTACATGTAGGTGCGACTAGTCATAAGCTTCACCATGTGTGTGTATATCTGTGACTGCATGAGTGCCAATGTGTACAATTATGTGTGCGATTGAGTGTACACCTGAAAAGCATATGTTTGTGTGACTGTGTATATGTGACGACATGTGGGGATCAGTGCGTGTACATGCGTGTATGTATGAAGACTGCATGTGCACAATTGGATGATTGTGTATCTGTGCGTATGGGGGAGAGGGGATAAATGAAGAGAAAGGAAAGAGAGGAAGAGCCACTTTGTCAGACTTCAACCTTTACACCCACCTCAGTTCTGAGGGGGATGAGACATACCCTGAACATCCTCTGGGGTCAGTGTCTGGAAATGGCTCCATGCTCTGGGGCTGAACGAGATGGAGCCTGGATTATGGGTGTATTAACGGTATTTTATCTTGGATCTTGGGAAGACTGTCACCTGAGCCCAGCAGCCTACTGTGATATGTTTGATAATGATAAAAATAAGCAAGAAAAATAAAAACAATAGCATGAGAAAAGGCTGTTTCTAAGGGGGCAGCTAGGTGGCGCAGTGGATAGAGCACCAGCTCTGAAGTCAGGGGACCTGAGTTCAAATTCAGCCTCAGACCAAACACTTGACACTAGCTGTGTGACCCTGGGTAAGTCACTTAACCTCAATTGCCTAAAAAAACAACAAAAAACCCCCAAAACAGAAAAGGCTGTTTCTATGGAAGAGGAGAGAGAAGAAAGAGAGAGGGAGAGAGAGAATGAGAACACAGTAGGATGGGTAGAGAGAACCCTTAACCGGAGCTGGGAGAACTAGGTTCTTATCCCAGCTCAGCAACCCTGGGCAAAACATTTCCATCGCTTAGACATCAATTTTTGTGAAACAGGGGACATGAAGAGGATGCTTTCTCAGATCCTTCCTAGGACTGACATTCGAAGTTCTATGTTCTCCTAGTGAAGCCTAGGCGTGTCTGCGGCTCTGACGCAAATCCCACAAAGCCTGGAGGAGGCAGCTGGGATGAGTGCTGAGCCCCCGCCAGTGGGTGCCAGCTGGCATGGTTCTCTCATCTTCCAGCCCGAAGCTGAGAGAAAGGAGTGCCTGGTGGGAAGCACAGGAGGCCAGGGGAAACTGTTTGGTTCTGAGGAGAATGAGCACGAAGGCCTAGGCTGAGGCTGAGGGGGGTAGTGTCACAAGGATAGTTAAGGCTAGATATGGACAATATACTGTCCTTGGTAAAGTCACAGACCTGGAAAATGCCTGGACTGATTGGAGGAGACCTTTGAGCTGATATAGTCCAAACCTCTTATTTTACAAAGGAGGAAATGAGGACTTAGAGAGGGTGATGGTTTGTCCAAGGTCACATAACAAATTAACAGGCACGAGACCTGAGAAATCAGGTAGTACAACTTGACGGTGATAAAACTGAGGCTCCGGGTGGGAAAAGTGGGAAAAAGCGATGGTAGCAGATGGGAGCAGACCTGGCACTAATAGCAGCCCCCACACAGCGAATTTCAGTTTAATACTCATTAAAACTGAGTATTTCTCAAGCTTTCTGGAGGTTCACAAAGTGCTTTCCTCATGGCAGCTCTGTGAGGGAATGTCAGTATCTCCCATTTTACAAAGGAGGAAGCCAGGGATCAGAGAGGCTAACTGACTTATTACAATCAGGAGCTAAGCCAGGATTCCAGTCCAAGTCTCCCAATTCCCAGACCAGGGTTCTTTTCACTGTCCCACATTTTCTGTAATTAGCTGCTCCTTCTGAACTCATGGTGGTCTGGCCTCCAGCTCTTGGGGCAGTGCTCTGTGGGCGCTGGGCACTCCCAGGTATTAACTCTTCTCTCTTACACCCCTGCTCTCCTCTCACTTTTCTCTCTTCTTCTTTCCCCTTATGCCCATGGAATGATGGAGGCCCTTACCTTGTGAAGCCAGTGAAGGTGCATCTGCTGTCCCACAACAATGTGACAGAGGGCCAGGATCTGGGGAGACACAAGGACAGAGAACCTTCAGACTCCCATGAACAAGGAAGAACAGAGGGCACAAAACGGAGGCAGACTTAGGTTCAGCAGAAGGAAAAGCCTTCAAACAATCAGAACTGTCCCACAATGGGACAAGCTGTATTTTAAAGGTAGTGAGCTCCCTGTCTCTCACTGAAATCCAGAACCTCAGAACTGGAAGGCACCTAGATGCCATCTTGTCCATTCCACACACCTGAGCAGAGAACCTCTCCACAGTGTTCCTGATTGAGTTTCCTCTTGAAGATCTCCAGACTTAAAGGCAGCTCATTCCATTCTTGGAGATCGCTGACTTTAGCAAGTTTCTCCTTACACTCAGCCCAAATCTGCCTCTCTGTTGTTTCCCTCCCTGCTCCTAGCTCTGCAAAGGTTGGATGCCCCCTTGTCAGGGATGTTGGGGTGAGGAGGAGAATTCCTACTATGGTATGAGTGGGCTGGGATATCCTCTGAGATCCCTCCACTTCTGAAAGCCTTGGAGTTCTATGAAATAATCCCCATACTATGAGTCCTCTACACACCAGGATCACTCTTACCTGCCGGTGCCCTTCCTCTCAAACTACTCTGTACTCATCGATTTTGTATTTATTATATTCATTCTCCATACAGGGAGCTTCAAAAATCTTAATGCAATTTCAAACTACTTTTGGGACACCTAGCGAGTGTGTGTGTGCGTGTGTGTGTACGTACATACAGATATTCACACAAGCACGTATGTACACACATGTGTATACGCATGCATCATTGTTGTTTCCCTTATTAGACTATTAGCTTCTTGCAAGTAGGGATTGTTTCATTCTTTGTACTCATATCCCCAATCTCATACAAGTGCCTGGCATAAAGAAAGTGTCTAATAAATGCTCACTTTTTGACTGACTGACTGATCTGGGTACCCTTGGTCACTGGTAGTTCCATCCAATCAGACCAAGCGTTTACTCAGAGAACTTCGTATGGACCAGGCAGCCACAGAAGGCCTTCTCTCTTTCCTACAATGCCAAGCTCTGGGGCTACCCTCCCCTCATGGGACTCAATTCAAATGACAAGATCACATTACCTCTAGAACAGGCCTTAGAGGTTGTCAGCTTGAACCTGAGCAAGAACCTGAGCAAGGGGGGGGACTTACTACTCCAAGACAGCTCATTCCACTTTTTGGAAAGCACTAATCATAACTGTTTTTTCCTCTCATCAAGTCAAATCTGCCTCTCTGTAACCACCCCCTCTCCCCCCATTGCTCCTTGTTCTGTCCTCTTGGGCCCAGCAGAACAGATCCAGCCCATCTACAGGAAAGCCCTCCAAATACCTGAGGACCACTCCCTGCCTCCCTCCCCCACCATGTCTTCTCCACCCTACACAGCCTTAGTTTGCTCAGTCTTCATATGGAATGAAATTGGAGCCCTCCTCAGGAAGTTCCCCAGTTTTATCAGTGTCCTTTGCTAAAATGTGCTGCCCGGAAGAGTCTTTCTGCCAATATCAAAGAGCTGGCTCACCAGTCTTGCAGTCCATTCAAATCCCCAAATCTCTTTTTCACAGGAACTGCAGGTTAGCCACACCCCCGCCATCTTGTTCTTATTAAGTTTTTCAACTGGAGTAATAACACTACATTTAGGCCTATTAAGTCTCGCCTTATTAGATTCAGTACAATGTTTAGCCTGTTGAGATCTTCTTGGATGCGTTATCATTCAATGTATATTAGCTGTCTCTCTGAGCCTGGTGCCTCTTGCAAATTTGATAAGCATACCATCCAAACTTTCGCCCAAGTAACTGATAACGCTGTTGACTAACACAGAGCAAAGACAGATCCTTGGGACGCTTCATAAGAGCCTTTCTACACTTTCGCAACAAATTATTGATGACTATTGTGTGGGCCCACCTGGTCATTCGATCATTTCAAAATCAGTTAACTATATTTTCATCTAGCCCAGAAGCTGATAACACTTTTCGTGCTGCCTGAACCAGATTAAAATGTAACTGAGAAATATTTAATAAAATTAATGAAAATACAACAGAACATAATGTTAACATATGGGTTTCTAGATTGATATGCACCTGCAGGGATCCTTATGTACAGTTCAGTGGCCTCAATTTCTACTTGAGTTGGAAACCATGGATCTTGCCCATATATCTCCATTTTCCCACAAGAATAGTATGAGAGATTTCTGGATGAAACCAGGCTGGCTCTTTGTGACCCAGCTTCTTTATCTAGATGTTCACCAACCTTTAATAATATGTTTTATAATTTTGTTTAGGAATCAGTCAAGTTCACTGGCCTATGGTTTGAAGACTATCCTCTTCTGTCTTTTTTTAAAAAACTAAGCATTCATTTGTCAGTCCACTAAGACATCCTTCATTAGTCATCCATCCATCCATCCATTGCTTGAAAGACATCCTGTCACTTCCCTCAAAACAGGGGGTCCCCAAGATCGGGAGACATCCTTATCCTCAGAGATGACTTGTCTTTCTCATGCTGCCATATCCTACCAGACATACCAACAATCCTGTGATGTACGTGAAGCCAGTGGCAGTGGTCAAAAGGATAGGAATGGACCAGTCACTCCAGTATCCCATCCGGTTATAGAGGAACCTGGAAAAAGAAGGATGAAGAGTCAAACAAAGGTCAGGGTGGGAGTTTAAGGCTGAAAAATAGATGCTGGGACAAACAATGTGAGGAAATCCCTGAGGGTTTTATGAGGGGGAGAGAGTGTGGAAGGAGCAGGATAGAAACCATAGAATACAGAATGTCAGAGCTAAAAGGAACGTTAGAGATATGGCCCTTAGTCCCACTTCCACTTAGGAAAACCTTTTCTCCAGCTCTGCCTATGGAAATCCTATATCCCTTCCCCTCTCCCCTTTAAGAATTAGTTCAAATGCTACCTCCTCCAGGAAGCCTTCTAGGACTCTTCTACTCAGAGGAGACCCTGATTCTTTTTTGTGGCTTTCATCACATCTTGCCTGTACTTTGAGTTTCATTGTGCTACTAGACTCTGAGCTCTCTAAAGGCAGGAATCAGGTTTTGGTATAGAGGCAAGAGCCCCAGACTGGGAGTCAGGAGGCCTGAGTTCAAGTCTTAGGTTTGCCACCAAACTGCTGGGTGACTTTGAGCATGACACCTACCTTCTCCGGGATTCAAGTTTCTCTACTGGTGTTGGACTAGACTTTGAGCTTGCTGAAGGGTAGGGACTATATATGATGACAGTGATGGTGATGTAAAGAAAAGACCCAGGGTTTTGTAATTATGGCATCTCCCATCTTCCTTTATCAGGGCAGCTCATAATTCACCTTGGAAATTTGCAGTAACTCAACATTTCATCACTCTGGCCAAACTGGTCTGGCACGAACTCTGCTGATCTTGAGTCAACAGACACAGTTCCTCACTGGGCACATAGTCGAAGTCTGCCCAAGTCAGAAGACTAGGCTAAGAGCTTGAACCTTTGTAAACCCACAGTTAGCTGTCTGCCACTATGATGTCTTTGATGAAGATGTTCGTGTACAATTACTATTATTTTTTGTTAACAACAACATCTACATAAAAAAATGCCTCTTTTTTGCCGAGGTGGGGGACTGAAGGTCTAGAACATTGCTTACACTGTCAGACTATTGATGTATTTGTTAGTTTTGCAGATTTTTTTTTCTTCTTTTTTTTCACAGTGATAAGTGATGGTTCTACGGGTGGGGAGGGATGTATTTGGGAACAAAGAAGACAAAAACCAAAAGATATCACCAACAATTTAAAAAACAATAACAGTTCACTTATCTGTAGGGCTTTAAGGTGTCAAAGCTGCTTACCTCTCAACAACCCTATGAGGGTAGAGGCCTTGTTACCATGTTGCAGATTAGCAAACTGAAGCTCAAAGACAAGGGACTTGCCTAGGATCCACACAGCTAGTTCATGTCTCAGAGCTGGGATACACATTTGCATTCCTGATTCCAAGATGAATGCTCTTTCCACCAGGCTACACTGCCCTGATTCATCTTTGTGTCGTCTGTGATATGGAAGTACAAGGTATTCAGGGAATGTCTGTAGAATGGACTCGTCCCCTAAAGTCCAGTTAAGTCTAGTTCTGACTCCCGTGTTCCATCTTCTAACATCTGGGTTTGGTGGTTTTTTTTTTTTAGCTCTGGTTAAGTGGAAGGAGTGAGAGACTAGGAATCAAAAGGACAGGTGATCAATCATAAAGAAATGCATGGTCCAGGCCAGCAGATGACTAGAAGTCAGTCAACAAGCATTTATTTGCTGAAGGCCTATAATGTGCCAGGCACTGTGCTATGTACTGGGAAGATTTAAAAAAAAAAAAAGAGACAAAAATGACCGTTGCCTTCAAGGAACTCACAATCTAATTTAATTCTTTAATTAATTAATGGCCCTTGCCTTCAAGGAACTCACAATCTAATTAATTCATTTAATCAATTAATTTTATTTAATTCTTATCTGGAAAATATGTATAGGTAGGTCTCTGGCCCATTGTAGGGAGGAAGGTCCCCCCAGAAGTCAGCACCTTAGGTCAAAGTCCTTATTCCCCACTCTAGTTACATACAGAGCTGGGTTCCAGTTTCAACTTCCATTCTTTATAGTTTGACTTGGTTTGTAAGTTGAGCATTCATAAATGGCACTGCCTATAGTGTACCACTGGGGAAGAAATAAGTCATTTGATATATCACTCTGCATTAATTCAAACAGAGAGGTGTAGGATACGTACAAATTGTCCTTATTTTGCTAAGGTTAGATGGAAGGAATATTGAAATCCCTAATGACAGAGAGGAAATGAGACTTCTCTGTTTCCCAGGTAGAATGGATTCAGTGAGGAGGGGGGGAAGAGTGGGGGAACTGAATAAGGATGCTTATTGTTTCAGAACTGATTTAGTAAAACCTAAAAGCCACTTGGAAGACATGATATTTATTCTATTAATATACCTCAGTTAACTCATGAGGTTAAAAAGTAACATTTTTTGTATTTGAGTCCTGGGCCTCCCTTTTACCCGCTGTGGGAATTCGGGCTTACACTCTTAAGGCTATGGAGTCAGGAGGACCTGGGCTCGAGTCCCATCTATATATATATTAGCTGTGGGACTCTGGGCATGTTTCTTAATTTACCTTTTAGAGCCCAGAGCTCTCTAAACCAAGACAATTGCAAAGGGGCAGAGAAGATGGAGGGAGCGGCCTCAGCTACCTATGCCAATGAAATCACAGGTCTAGTCTCTATCCTTGCACTAGATAATGTCTAAGGCCCTTGCCAGCTCTAAAATTCTGTCTGAGTTCCTTCCCAGCTCTGATTGTCTATGATTCATCTTCATAGCCCTCAAAGCTTCTGAAACAGTAGGGCCTCAAAAAATGCTTGGCAAATTTACCTTAATCATGTCCAGCTCTGTTGGGCATTTACAGATGAAGAAATGGTGGTACAAAGAGGGGAACTGATTTGCCTAAAATCACACAGCAAGTCAGTAGAAGGGCTGAAACTAGAACCCAAGCCTCCCAATTCCCAGTTCAATGGTCTTTCCCAGCCCATCACGCCACTCAGGGACTTGAAGAACATGGAGCACAAGAGAAGCTAGATCTCAGGGTACGTGAGGAGGAGGAGGAGGGGGATGGGGAAGTATGGGGAGGGGAGAGAAGACTACAGATGGATATAGTAGCTTGTGATCTATTCAATTCAGTTCAAGGAAGGAGGGGTCAGCATATACACATTTAGAGCAAGAGTTCTTTAATACTTTTTTTTTTTGGTGAGGCAATTGGGGTTAAGTGACTTGCCCAGGGTCACACAGCTAGGAAGTGTTAAGTGTTTGAGGCTGGATTTGAACTTCAGTTCTCTGGATTCCAGGGCCAGTGCTCTATCCACTGCGCCACCTAGCTGGCCCCAAGAGCAAGAGTTCTTAACCTTGGGTCACTGAACTTTTTTAAAAATATAGATAACTATTATTTCAACATATTTGGCTTTCTTTGTAATACTATGTATTTTATCTTATGCACATAAAACATCATTCTCAGAGGAAGGTCAGCTTTACTAGTGCATGTTCTCTCTCTCTCTCTCTCCTAGCAAAAATTCAAAGGCAACACGAATTTCTCTCTTCTGTCCTCCCCCACTCCCCACCCCACCCCCACCCCCCACTACTCGGTGATAATTCAAGCTATTGCAAGTGGAAGGAAATCTCCACTGCAATCGAGGGAAGCCAGGACCAGACAGGACGATCAAGGAAGGCCCAAGAGATCAGTTCCCTTCCTGTCTAGCCTTCAAGGCTCTAAATGAGCCCCCATTTCTCCTTCAGGAAGCTCTCTCTTAGCAATCCCCAGCCCACAATGATCACCCTCTCTCCTGCAGTCCTTAGAGGATATATAATTAAGTTCCATAATAGCTGTAAAATGGCTATTATGTACAGGGCCCTTTCTTTTATTAGAGCAAGCACTGCTTGAGAACAGGAACAGACTGTCTTGCTTTTCTTTGTAGCCTCAGAGCTTAGCGCAGTGCTCTGTAAACACAAGAAATGTTTTCTCATCCATCCATCCATCTATCCATTCATTCATTCATTCATTCATTCAACATTGGGCACAGAAAGGTAAATAAGTCTACATTCTCTGGCCTCATGGAGCTTGCTATCTAATAGTGGGCTCTACCACAGGTACACAAATAAATGACAGAAAGGAAAGGGACAAAGGAGAGATCTAGACAAAGTACTCCAGGAAAATTATCAAGAGAGAGCAAAGACACTTAACCCCTCCAATCAGGAGGGAGCAAGTCTTCCTAGAGAAGATCGAACTTGAGCTGGGTCTTAAGAGAATAGCAATTATCAAAAGGCTATTCTGTGTCAAGTACAAAGATACAAAGACAAAAAAATAAAAATAAAACAGACCCTGCCCTCAAGGAGCTTTTTTTTTTTTGCTTTTTGGTGAGGCAATAGGGGTTAAGTGGCTTGCCCAGGGTCACACAGCTAGTACATGTCAAGTGTCTGAGGCCGGATTTGAACTCAGGTCCTCCTGACTCCAAGGCCTGAGCTCTATTCACTGCACCACCTAGCTGCCCCTTAAGGAATTTATATTCTAATGAAGAAAAGGACTTCAAAAAGGAGAGATGAGAAGACACAGCTCCAAGGATGTGGAAGAGTCAGTCCATGCAAACACATAAGCAGGAAATACTGTGGTAGTTCTAGCAATGCAGCCGACTAAAGGCAGAACCAACAGGTCTTAACAAGGGCCTAGATGTGACCTCTTCCTCTCTGTCTTCCACAGCTCCCTGGTCTCCCCAGCTGGCGTGGGTGTTATTACTGGGGCAAGGACTTGATCTTCATCTCTGTCTCAGGGCCCTGCACTTACTGACTTCAATAGATAATGAGCAGGCTTCTGTGAGCCTTCTCACTGTTGGAAGATGAGCTTGCTGTAACAAGAATCAGAGACTTTGATGGCCATTCTGGTCCAACTCATACCCTGCAGTGGACTCCTCTCCACATCCCCAGCAAATGGCCATCTAGCCCCAGCTTCAAGACCTCTACTGGTGGGGACTGCAGTAAATACTGGGACAATCCATTGTATCTCGTGACAGATCTAATTATTAGGATAGATCTAATTATATTATTAAACTGAAACCTGTCAAGGTG